TCGACGCGGCCGCGGTGGGATTCACCTGAAACCTGGGTACAGGGGCGCGCAGCGAGGAAGAAAAACTCCAGCTGGCGGCTATTCCCTGTCGCAGATCACTTTACACGGGACGAAAAACCCCCCACCAAAAAGAAGAAAAGGAGGACGGCGCTTGGATTGCATTTGATTCTTCGGCGGCAGCTCCCAACTGTGAAGCTGTCGTTAACAGACACTCGGCACGTACAGCCGAGTGAATGACTTGGGTGAACCTTGGTTCTCAACTGTGGTTTTGCGGTTTCGCATTTTCCCCTCTCTTGCTGCGGTGTGATGACCAAGAGGGAGGCCGGGCCAGACCAGCATCAACCCCGACCTATGTCGTTATCACGGCTTACTAGTCGGACCCAGCGCTTCACAACTAAAGTGAAAATTAAGTGCGATCGGTAAGTGCCGCCCTGCCGAGATATCATAACAGCCCTGGCAATTGGCTTTGGACGCGAGGAGATCGGGGCCTAAGAATCGATCCAGCGAGTTGAGCAGCGCTGGCCCGGACGTTCCAGAGGCGAAGTGCCAGTCGAATTGGGCATGCAACTCCGCCGAGGCTTCTTAGTCAGACCTAAAGAACCGCTCCCTCCGTTTATGCTTCTCCTGGTTCTCCTCTTGTCCAAGTCAGTCTCCATCAAAAAGAGGGGTCATGCCCGTCACAGAAAAACAAAGCCGGCTCCATACTCGATTTATGTCTAATATCGGGCTCCATGGCTGAGCCGCCGGTGGGATTACCTATTCGACCGAGCCTGTCGACGCCCCCGAAATATTCGGATTCTGCTCCGTCTACAAGCAAGATCGTCATTGTGGGCGATTGCGCTCCAATATTTTCACAGAAGATTCTTCGGCATCCACCGATCTTGGCTATCGGGCCACCTCAACATTTCCCGGTCAATAATAACCACTGAAGAAAGAACCAAGTAGTGATATTCGAAGCAACTCGACTAAGTCACCTAGTGTGCCTAGTCTTCGGATCCGCCCCCAGCGTGCCATACGTGCTTCCCGCAGTGCGACCGTCCGGAGCGGTGACCGAGCCTGATGGGCAGTGAGTTGGACTGACGATCCCACTATCAGCTCCGAGGGCGCGGTACTGACTTGCGACCGTTGTCTCAACTTCATTGACGCCGACGATCGGCTCCCGGGCAGTGTAGCCCGGTGGGTCTGTTAGCCTGAATGTCCCGCCCCCATGAGCCGAGGTTATCGACTCGACGTGAGTTCCCGATGAGACCGTACCAAGACCTATGTTATGTGAAAGAGCCAAAAAGGGCCTCGTTGTCTCTCATGTATATTTTTGCCAAGACGAGGTTAATGATAGAGCAGCCGATGCATCTGTTGACTTGGGTCATAGACATGATCCCCAGCGACGAATTATCGCGAAATCCGTCGGCGACTTCCTTTGCTGACTCAACTTACTTGGTCAATCACATCGGTTACACTATGTCCTGCCGTGATGCCCAGATTTTAGCCTGTGTCATCACTGTTGCTGACAATTCCTTTCTCTTGGCTTTACTGTGTGTTGTCAGCTTCTACCTAAAAGTCTGATGTATCACTGCCGCGCAATTGATATTGCCCCCAAGCAAAGGCCAATTGCCGACAAATGAGATGACAGAAGCCCGAAGCTAGATCATCTAGACGGGCAGTTCATGCATGAGAGGTCTTTCAGATGTTATACTCTCCTGCTTCGTCTTCCCGCGTCACAGTTGTAGGGTTTCCTTCACCTTAAGCGAAATTTTCTACCATCCCACTTAACCCCCCGAAGGTGAAGTGAATCTAATGATTTTTATTATGCGCCATGTATCTTTTTCTCCAAGTAATGCGGTATCAGTGTTGGTATTCCTTTCACAGGGAATTTGGTTCGAACCGTAGGGTCCTGGGGGTGACGAAGTATCAATATCTCTGTATTGATTGATTCTGCGTAAGGAGTAGAAGGGAGATTCCAACCGGAGGTTGGGTGGGTAGTCGAGGTCTAAGTGTACCCCCTCGAGGTGGCCCATGCTCTGCCCCTACTCGCGGCCGAATTGGACTTCCAATCCGACAATCAGGCATGATCATGCCCCTCATGATCCTCCCCATCCTCCGTCCAGTCTGGAAACCCATCATCAAACAAATCCTGCAACTTGTCCCCTTTCTTCTCGTCATCCCACTTCTTATTCCTCATCACCTTCTGCCACTTCTTCCACTCCTCATCATTGAGCAAACACGCATCCAGCGCAGCTTCTAAACCCTTGATGTCAAGCTTCTCACCGATGAACACCATCTCCTGCCGGCGGTCACCCCACTCGCCACCCTTTTTGATGTCGTGTGTGACAAGGGCGTCGACTTCGCTATCGCCCGTGAGGTAGTCACCGGGGTCAAGTGTGCAGAACCACGGGCGGCCGCCGGTCATCGTCAGCATTGCGCCGGCCTGGGACCAGTCGCCTGCCCGGTGTGGTCGTGTCGCGAGGAAGAACTCACCCTTTGAGCGGAAGAGACGGTTGAAGAGGGGGTTGGCGGTTTTGTTGGCGAGGATGACTTCATTGGAGGGGGGCTCGAGGGGGTCTTCCATGTTAGCGTCCTCATCTTCGTCTGCTTCTGACTCGTCGTCTTCCCATTCCTCATCTTCCTTGTCGGAAGCATCTCCGTCGCTCATGTCAGCGTCATCGTCCTCATCCATTGCATCTTCATCCTCGCCCTCGGGCTCCTCCATCTGCAGAATGAACTTGTCGTAGAGAAGTGACCATAGACGTCTAGGGTGGAATGGCCGCGTCCTCGTGTAGATGAAGTTGCGGACGTTGTATTCCTCCGTCTCTGGCTTTGGGGTAACTGCTTTGCGACCGTTGACCTGGAGCATCGAGGATCAGCATATATCTTCATCTGATGTGTGGATAAGTCCGAGTGAAGTCTAACCTCGCGGACAGTCATGGCATGCAAGTCTTGGAGCCAACCGAAACCAGACTGAGCAACCTTGAGGTCGAATGTGTTGGTATTGACAATCTCGCTGACGTCAATCTTGCTGTAGCTGGATTCCAGGATCTTGGCTCTTGGGTTGAGCTTCTTGATCAAATCCAGCACGCGAGCGCGATTGTTCTTGGTCACCTGAATCTAGTCAGCAATTTCATCCTTTCACGATATATCTCTCGTGGAAGTGCTCACCATATCGACTTTGTTGAGAACTATCACGTCGGCAAACTCAATCTGGTCAACCATCAGGTCAGACACGGTCCGTTCGTCTTCTGGTACGACATCATCTCGTCTCGAAGATAGCAAATCGCTAGTGTGGAAATCGTTGAAGATTGTGAAGGCATCGATGACCGTGACGGTGGTATCAAGGCGAGCGAACTTGTCGACTCCGCCAGCATCAGCTCTGAGGAGCAGGTTTCGTTAGTAAGATCTTAATCGTAGGGTCAGAGAGGGTATAGGACTCACAGCCTCTTGAGCAACTTCAAGGTATCCTCATCCAATCCCTCGGGTCCCTCCCCCATTGTAGCCATTTGCTCCGCCAATCGGGCATCAAAGGTCTCTGCGACTTGTTCGGGCTCGCTTATACCACTGCTCTCGATAATCACGTAGTCGAACTCATGGAGCTCTGACAAGTTGACGAGCTCTTCCAGCAGATCTCCTCTAAGAGTACAGCAGATGCAGCCATTCTGCAGTGCGATGACCTTTTCTTCGGTTTTTGTAAGTCGGTGGCTCTTCTTGATGAGGGATGCGTCAACGTTCACACTAGTTGACGCAGCTAGTCAGTACTGCTTCATGAAATACAAGGTGTAGAGCAGATAGTTGGTAACCCACGCGCCGATATCATTGACAATGACCGCAATACGAAGACCATGGTCGCTCTTGAGGATGTGCTGAAGGAGCGTCGTTTTACCACTGCCCTATAATCTAGCCATTGGCCACATGTCTCAATCACACTCGCATGCGTCACTCAGGAGTCAGGACGTACCAAGAAGCCCGAGAGAAGTGTGACTGGTAGAGGTTTTCCTTGACCAGACTTTGTAACATCGACGCCGGAGTCCTGGCGGACAAGCTTCGGGACCTCATCGGTGGATTTTGGTTGTGTAGTTGCTGGCACAACAATGGCACCCGATTTGGGCTTCGTTGAAGACGCTGAGAGTTTCTTGCCCATTGTGAACGTGCGTGGCTTCCCGTAAACTCTGAAGACTCGTTGGAGATTGAAGAATGAAAGGTTTGGGTACACTTATTCAGTCTAAACCTTCGACATTTGAATATTTATATGGGCATTTCCAACCTTTCAACATCTCGGATGCCGACTTCCCTAATCGACTGCCATCAAGGTGCCATCAGTCCATCATTTCATCATGCCATCTCCCTGAATGATCTCCCTGTGCTGTTCGTTCTGTACGACGTGTGCACGACGGGCCATCCGGGTTCTGACGATTGCCCCGGCGATATAACACGGGATTGGCTGGCTCGTCACCGGGGCCGTCATCATCATCGGCCGCCCTCTGATTGGCTGAAAAGACATCGACCGGGACTCGATCCCCAGAAACGCCTCGCCATATTAGGAAAAAAGAGTTCGCGAAAACATGGATGACGGGTCTAACGGCCGGCTCGGACCCTTGAGAACCTTGAGGGATACCTTTGGTGAGCGAAATGCCGTGTTGTTATTCGCTAGGTCAACTGAGTTGAGGCGAGCTGCACTTGGGCCGACGGTCGACGATGAGATGTACGGTGAGCTAAGGTACCTGGGCAAGGAAGAAGGATTTGAGGGTTGGAGCCCTTGGATTTGGGTTCCTCGGCAGAATTGGAGGGCTAACATCTTCTTGGAAGACAGTTGGCAACGCTGCTGTGGTGCTGGCATTGTTCTGGAGCATGTGTATGATAGGACTTTGACATGTCTATTATGTTGCATAAGTACATAGGCAAGGTAGCTGATATTGATGTGGATATTTTCCAATTCGTGAGTCGAGTCCATCAGTTGTGGAATGAAATCACCTGCTCACTATGTCAGGTTGATGTGCCTGAGACCTGGTGTGAGAACTTGCCAAATCGCGGCTCTCCGTAAGCTGCACGTGCTTGGAGCCATCGACCTTATCAAAGAATGAGTGAAGCAATACCATTCAGCACATTCAGCACGAGATTCATCGATTGCGGTCGACTAGCACCCCATGAAATTCCATGTCAAGATTCGCCCTTGGTGGTGCAACCAGTACGTGCGTATCAAAGGGAAGGAAGATTTATTCTTACAAGACGCGGCTTCTGTAGCCTCCTATCCTGCTGTGTTACTTTATGCATCATCTTCGGATGGCGAGGGCTCAAAAGCTAACCGTGCTGGAAAAATGCGACTGGCTGATTACTCATTGGGACCATGTGTTACGAAGGCGAGACACGGTGATGATCTTGGCTTCCGGAATGGCAATGTTCCTTGGTCTCTTTCAGTTCAACGAAGAGCTGGGTACATGCTGAGGAACGGGAAGAAACCACAGAAACGGATTCGCAAGACATCTGGAATCCTGGATGATACAATGTACTGCTCATATCGAAGCCTGTATTACGTTGTCAACTTGTCTACAGCTACCATTTGGTCGAAGCACACAGCTCATCCGAGTCACAGCCGCTGCCGGAAAGAAGAAAAGTGCCTCGTCAGATCACACGGCCAAAAATCAATCTTCCGTACTCTAGAAAGCAAGTCACATAAAGCATGATTCTCATAGACCGGAGGGTTATATAGCCGAAAGGGCATTGGAGCCGAACAGCTAGTCGAACCGAACCTCGACTTGAATTAGATGCAGATCAGGCGCTCGGCGTTCAGGCGACAAATAGACGGAGGGGCAATGGTATTAATAGAAAGCCCATCGCCTGCCAATGCCATCGGTGTTGAAAACTGTAGAGGCCAACGTCATTGTCAGGTGAGGAGTCAAAAAAGATGTTTGCAAGGTGCCCATGCATTTCCAGTTTCGTCGTCGACCCCGTAGTGGATCAGGTTGAGCCAGAGCTTACCCCGGATACTACCACGCGACACCCTCTCTCTCCTGACTCCTCACTGCTGTTCGTCGCGAGCGTGTCGGTAAAAGTTGACTTGTTTGTTTGTAGGCAGGTTGAGCCAGATTTTGTCCTTGTGTCGATCACGACTGTTCCGTGGCCGAGCCGCCACGCGTGGTTGGCCATTGAAGCAAATGGGCTCTGGGCTCGCCAAGAGTTGCGCTGTCGGGCTGACGCAAGTTCATGCACACTTCCGCATCCAAAATCGGAACCGCGGTCTGCTACTACATGTGTTGAGCAAAGATCAGCTCCATCCTCATCACAGTCTTGTCGCCGTAGGAATCCTACGGCAAAGGAACACGAAGTTGCACCGAGGGGTAGGCAGGAGATGCAACAGCAGTCGGCGGCGCAATCAAGAAAAGACGAAAAATGTTTCCAGGCTCAGACAAGGCCCCCCTACCATGTTTCTAATTCTCTCCGTCCTCGAAGCGCCATGGTGGAGTTTCTGGTGGGCAAGCGTCGGAAACTAGCACACTTCGGTGCTCAAATCTGCCAACAGCTCTTCGTACCTATTCGTGGGTTGCTCGCAGTCGCATTCTCGGTGGTTTCAGACACCAAAAAGAGGGCGTCTCCGGGCCAAGCCGCCAAGAAGCGCGTCAAACACGACCGAGGGTTTTGGTGCGGCACGGCGGGTTCACCAGAGTGACAGCGGCCGGGGTCCGTCTGAAACCCCCCGAATATGGAACGGGTGTGGTTCACGGCTCGCCTGCTCAGAGACTTCATAGTCACCTTGCCAGCTGAGAAACTCCCCGTTGTCCGGGCCTCTTCGACCCCTTGGGTGTAACTGTGCGGCGTACTGAGGCTGGTGAAGAGGAGCTAGAACTGGGCAAACACTGCTGCTGATGGTTCTAGCGGCTGCGCCAGAGTCATGTCAAGCCACCTCTATTCGTAGGGTCCATCCGTGTGAACGTCCCCCGGAGCGTTCCCTCGCGTGCGCCTGTCGCACCAGAGACCAGTGCCCACTGTCCCTCAGTGCATGAGCCGCCCGCAGCTCGTAAGAGAGGCACATCTCGAACCCCCTTGCCCGTTCTTCTTGGAAGTTGTTTGATGTGGGAGACATCTTTGCATGGATGTCTCCGAACTTGTCCATGGGGTTGGGCAAGATGATCGACACAGCGAGAATTGATAACATGGAGCAAATGCCGCCCAGCCCAGCGTGACGTCTCTTTTGGTTCTTGTTGTTTCTGCTTCTGCTTCTGTCCAAGATCTCGGTGAATCGTGACTCTTTTTCTCATGCGGCGCTTGCGTCCTTTTTCCTTTCTTGTCGGTTTCTTCTAGATTTGCAGCTGTGCTGTTTTCTCTCTTCACTCACTCGCTGGTCGATTTTATTTCGTTACTGGTTCGCAGTACAGTCTGTGGGAAACGCGAAGACTCGGAGTTATGGAGGCAACTGCGACTTGGTCTACTTTGAGGTATGGGGTCAACTAAGCATTCTCGCAGTCTTTTAGTGAGAAACGCTAACCGGTATTAACAGACAGCGGAGGAGGAGATCAGCGCCTAAATTCCCTGGCAGACCTCGTCACAATCTAACTCGTAGGCAAAGCCCAGCACCACCGCCCGCAAAGGAAGAGGAGGCAGAGGAAGCAGACGGGGAACAAGAGGCTGGCGGCAAGCAGGAAGAGGAAGAGGACGAGGACGAGGAGGCCAAGCCTAACCAGCCCGCCGACCAACAGAAGGAACAGGAAGACGAGAAAGAGGAGAAGGGGGAGGAGCCTGCGAACGGCGCAGCCAAGGAGGCCGAGAGCGACTCAGAAGCGGGCGGCCAAGCCGGCGCAGCATCATCAGCAAGCGACTCCGACGCACCACAACCGGGCGCGCCGCCCGGCCAGTCCTCCGACTCGAGCAGCGACTCAGAACAAGAACAACCACCCCCAGCAGTACCGCCGCCGCCAGGAGCAACTCCGGCCCCTCCTCCGAGTGTACAGCCGCCTCCGGCCGCACCATCTCTCCCGCCTCCGGCAGCTCAAGGGTCTCCGATCCCATCGGCAGTCCTGAACCCGGTGTTGCCGGCAAGCTTGCCGCCCGCAAGAGGCTTCATCACTCTTGTCCCCGGGGCGCCGCCTCCATCTAACCCACCGCCTCAAGAAGCTCCCGCGCAACAATCGGCCCCGGCCGTGACACCGTCGAACCCTCCTGCTCGCCAACCGCAAAACCCTCCGCCTGCCAGTCAGTCTTCGGCACCGCCATCACCGCCTCCTCCACCCACCGCCGAAACTACTCCTTCAACGAATCTGCCGCCACCGCCAGTCGAAAATGCGGCGTCTGGAACTCCACAGCCAGAACTTCTCCCGCCAAGCTCACAAGTCGAGGCTTCCAACGCGCCATCAGCATCGGCTGCGCCTGCTGATGGCACAGACCGCGGGTTTGCCATCGGAGTCTCCTTCGCCGTTGTCGGTAAGTCATCAGAACTCTCGCATTCTAGACCAGAATTTTGACCAAAGGTTACAGCCATCATCGGACTGCTCATAGGCGCAGTAATTTTCGGCGTAAAGCGCTACAAGAGGAAGAAGAAGGTCGCGGCCGTAGCAACAAACATGACACAAAATACGTCACCAGGGAATAACGGCTTTGTCGCACGCGAATCAGCCATCCTGCGTCAACCGAAACGCAGCACCCGCGAGATAGAGCGCGCCATGGTCACAACCTTCAGACAAACCAAGATTGCAAATCGGACCACCAAGGAGATGGAAGAGCAGATGATGGAGCAGTTCAAGACCGACAGAGCATCAAAGATGGAGGCTTCATCCGCCAGACCTCTACCGAACTCCCCGACAACGAACGCGGCTGCCGCGGCTCCGCCTCTTCCCAGCATGCCCAACAACAACGATCCTATTGGAAACACGAGGAACATGCAAGTGGAGAGCTTTTACTACGAAAAGTCCATCAACGAGCCGGCGGTTCCCGCGCCGCTGAGGATCAGCACGGCGCAACGACGGCCGCCGACAGCGGTTTCCACGGCGAGGGTGCCGTACCCTGCTTCCACTTACGATATGTACCAGGAAGTAGGACAGGGTCCGTACCGGGAATCTATCAATGTTGGATACCAGCCCAACAACGGCTATCGACCATACAACCCGGACAACTTTTACCGACCGCAGCCGGGTCAGCTACCCCGAGCGGAGAGGGGACCTGATGGACGATTCTCTCCCGAAATGGGATATCGCGGTTGAGGTGCGCAATGTCGCGGCAAGCCCACACGGTCATTACTGAGAGCACACGGCGACATTTTTTCTCGGGCTGGGATCAACCCACGATATTAAATCATACCAAGGATCGGATGATGGACCCTCCGAACCAGACCTTGCGAACCACACACACTGTACTCAGGCATAGATGAGATGACTGCTGTCACACATCTTATTTGTCTCATCTATCACTATTTCTTTTCCTTTCTTGTTGAATACCCCGAGCGAAGATTGCCGTCCACGATGTACTATACTTAAATTTGCAATAATATCACGAACCATAACGATTGAAACATTTCCACAAGTGCATCAATATGCCCTCTGTGACAGCCGCTGAACATTTCACCATAAAAGCAGAAAGCATCATGAGTTGAGTCCCGGCATTTTCATCGCCCCCTCGACGCCCATCTCTTCATCCCGGCCTAAATTCGTTTCCTCTAGACGCCCAGAGGATCCACAAAGCAGGTCGAGACGCACGCCTCCTGAAACAGATATCGTGACAAACCCCTGCCACAGCCCGAGATAGGCTTGTCAAAAGTTCCCGATCTCTAAACCCATAATAAAAGTCGCACAAGGGTGGAGTAGGAATTGGCGATGTCGCTGGCACCTGCGCACGCTCAAAGGCCGGTCAACACGGATCTTGGCCGCGTCCTCGGAATCGTCTCTCCTTGTGGTAGCGGCGAATTTACAGCAACATGCCGAAAGCAGATCGAAAATGGGTCAGCAGACTACTTTTTATAATATCCCTTCGAGAACAATGGTGATACCTTATTCTATGAATTATCTACGTCATCTACCATAACCCCTTCAATCTTTGTCGTTTGTAAGAACATCGTCCTGTCTGAAACAATTTTGATTACTGGCTCCTTTGGCTCCTGACTCTCCAAAGCAAGGTCCAGAGGCGTCTTCCCGGAACTCATGGAAAGACTGGCGTCAACCTTTCCTGAATCAAGCAGTTATTGGGCAGTCTTCTGTTTTCTAGACTTTAACTGCGCTACTGCCTGACCGACCCTCTCTTCTAGGGCTTCGTTAGCTTCATTAGCCTTATTGATCTTATATTCCCAAAACTCCCACAGGCAGCGATTTATTATACGAGAGCTCGATTCCGAGCCCCTTTTCGTTGCTGATAATCCTACGCCTATTCTGTCTAACTAGACATAGGATATCGCAACATAAGTATCCTTTAAGTCTATAAGCTGGACTAAATCGTTAAGTCTAGAGCTTTTGCCATAACGCCAGGTAGTGGAATGACCTTAGTTAAGGCCTCATCAATTTGTTTCATATCGAACTCTAACGGGGAATCTGAACGTTCTCTATCTGGTTCCAAGTATGTATACATCTGCTTTATCTTCGTACTATCAACGGCGGCTTGCTGACAGAATCTAAACTAAGGAGAAGAGATTTATAAGCGAAGCTTCCGCGGAGGTGGAGCGTAGAAGTAGGGGGTCCGCGCGGTCAATCGTGGTAGAATATCCGGGCGAAGCCTATGCTCACGCCATCGCCCTTTAAACCGCATCTTCAGTATCTCATGTGGTGTGATGACCTTCAGAAGCATCGACATGACTTCTAACAGTAGCCTGAACTTCTGAACAAACGATATCATGCGTCGACTGAAGGACTTAGTCCATCGCTGATAAATACGGGATTGGTGCCACAGTTCCAGGACTGTTGGTAGAACGGACGGTAGGATTGCAGAAGCAATGTAGGTAAGTATTGGAACAAGAATGAACGACATCAGAAAGGCTGGTAATTCTTGGACCTTCTGGCCGTTTCCGGTCTCATTTAAGACAGGAAGCGCCCAGAATGTCTGTGGTTCGCCGTTAGGCCTAATTGGACTCATACTAAATGTGCAAAGGAGGTAACGTACTGCCAAAAACCCTAGCGGTGTGTATATAATAGTGACGATGGTAAACACATAGATGGCTTGATTGAGAGATCTCGCGTCGTTGGATTCTCGTAATGATGTCGCGCTAAAAATCTTCGGGCTGTTAGCCAAGTGAAGGGGCATGTAGGGCTCTCAACTCTTACTCCATCTCGGAGACGGGTTATGTCTTCGGCCTGGCCTTGAACTCGCAGAGAAAGCCTGTCCGAAATAGCGTTGAAAATATCAGAAGTGATCTTCCAATTCGATAGAATCTCATTTCTAACCGTTTCTGTCTACCTAGGTAATGCTATCTAACCGCTCGTAGTCCAAGCAGCTACCCGATTGGTTCAATGTTGTTTTTCTCTCTGCCCCTATGAAATTTCACTGATGTAACGTTTCTGTATGATGGGCTTTTGTGGGAACACTGATGACACCTTGGGTACATGTAGTCCCCTGAAGTCCGTTGCTGAGGTCGCTGTGAACGAAGGGTCTTGGAGTTATGTTATGATCAGGTGTGTCGGCCCTCTCTTTGAGGTTCCCCAGCTATAATAGGATCCAGCAGTCAGACAGATGAGTTGCTTTCGCAATTTCTTCAACTACCAAGCTGTGTGGCCCCCATCTACGCGGACATCAGATCCAGTCATGAAACTGCTGGCATCACTGAGCAGAAAGATGATGGGACCTCTGTACTCGTGCGCCTCACTCAATCTCATCAACATGTTGCCATTGATCCATTCTCTCTCCATCTCAGGGTTACTGAGTGGTTTGTCAGTCATTCGTGTGCGGATGTACCCGGGCGAGATCGAGTTCACCCGAATGAGTGGTATGTCTACGCGGCTACCCCACTCAGCGGCAAGAGAACGAGCCATCTGAACAACTGCTGACTTTGACGAATTGTAGGCCACGGTATCAACGCCCTGGAAATTTGATTAGAGTCTTCCTCTACTTTAAGCAGACCGTCAACTTGCCTTGTTGCTCCCATGAGCACTCATACTCGCAATGAGGACGATACTTCCGGCCGATCCTTGTCTTTGAATCTCCTGAGCCGCAGCTTGCGCGCAGATAAGTGTCCCGATGACGTTGATGTCCACGATGCGTCTCGCTATGTCGATCGGAAAGTCGATGGATGGTGCATCACCTGAAATACCAGCACAGGCGACCAACCCCATAAAGGGGAACCGTATCTTCTTCATAGACTCCGCGAAGACAGACTTTACGTTTTCTGCGTCCGTAATATCGCACCTGTAGTACCACGCTTGTGTCCCGTGACTCTTGGACACGTCGAGCACACGACCTAGACGCGGAAGACATTCAGCTCAGTCATAGGGGAAGTTGTGATTGAGAAGCCGCTGAAGGAAGGTATAAGGAGCTTACTCCAAGGTTTCTCGAGAGGACTCTCCTGTCGGTCAATGCATATGACATCTCCGCCGCTTTCTAGCACGGAGCGAGCAACTTCCAAACCCATAGAACCTCCACCACCGGTTACTACGGATGTTAGAACATTCAGGTACTTGAGGAAACATGGCGATTCGCACTCAATATGGTCCGCTCATCAAGCCTGAAGAGCTCACTCACTGACTTCTCCGGGTCACCCACTGATGGTTTGGTTTCTCTGACGCTTGATGACATCGTGCTCGACGTGTAGAGGTGACTGGTGATTACATGTAATCACTTATCAACCTGAATTTCGATCGCGCAACAGGAGTTCTACCAACGCACTCAGAGACCATTAAAAAGGTGAAGGTGTGCTAGAAGGATGGTGGCTCTCCCTCACTCGTGTTAAGGTGGGTGAGGATGCGAGGATGATGATTTCCGGTCAAACTTCAGCTCAAATTTAATTCCCCGCATCAGCGTCTCCGTTGCCCGCAGCCTGCAGATTTACTTCAGACCGTACTGTTTGGCTGTTTAGCACGTTACTTCCTGCAGGAGACCAATCATCTTACCTAGTCACATGCATGTCCATCTGTACGTTGGTCACACAAAGTTACGAACGTTCTGGAGGTTTGTTAGCGAAGACATCAAATGTGCGCCAGGTACTTATGAAGCGGCATGTGTGTCGTTAATGCGCTCTTAGATATTATCCTATTCTCTGCTTTCTCCTAACCCACACTTCTTTGTCTATGCTCTCTGTGTCTGCAAGAGAATCTCCTATTGGTATTGAACCTATTGATGCTGTATCGCGCAACTGGACCTCCCAGATACCCAGCTTATATCGCGCGCGGTCTGCCATGCCGGAGAATAAATCAAACGACCATCCATGCTTCGGACAAGTCAACCCTGCGCTCAAAACAATTCCAAAGTCTTCGATATCGAACGGTGTGCCATGTGAGAGCGGATATGAAGAATGTGGGCATTTCTACAGAAGTTTTAGTCGGATCTATAGCATGTGTGCTTCCGTAATGAAAAGAAAAGACTCACATGGTCGACGGCGTGAAACTTCCCCTTAAATTTGAAAACTAAGACCTGATCCTTCAAATCGCCTTCGAGCTCGTCGTAGTTTAGGACATCTGGTGCCAAGAGCACCTCTGTACTCCGCGAGGGATCCGACTTCCGCACTTGGAACACCTTGCAACCAGACTTGAGATCTGTGCCACAGAAACGGAGATCTGATAGGTTGCTCTCATCGGATCCGAGATCGGGGAATGATGAGTCGAGGCCAGCAAAAAACCATCCTGCTGTGGAGCGCGATCGACCTCCAAAGGCATTCATCATTTGTTAAACTTGATTAGAGAGCCCTTGGGCATGGATATGTTTGACGCGGATTTGTCTTCTGTCGGTATCGCGAACGTGGCGGTAGTGCCGTGAACTTCGTGGCGGGCATCACGTCCGGATTGATTCCTTTGATGATTTTGGGAAGGTCACGTGTTATTGCACGTGAGTGGAACCGTCTCCTTTTGGTCCGCTAGAGTCCCGCAGTTGACAATGCCCAAGTCCAGGTATTCATTAAAGCCGATGACGTCGCTATCTTGGCAAGCTCAACATCACTAGAGAACAACTGTGACATCCTAACCAAGGAATGGAAAGAAACCTTAGGATGGGGCGCGACGGAAGGAATCACTTTTGACCTCGATAAGTCCGAACTGATCCACTTCACCAAGACACGAAAAGACGGAAACCCATCAATCACAGTAGGTTTGCCGGATGGGAGGTATCATATAGTTCAGGCTATTAAAGAAGGCTCTTCTCTACGCTGGCTCGGCGTTCACTTCGACCGTAAACTCATATTCAAGAGTTACGTAAGAAACCTCTCTGCAAAAGCATGCTAAGTAGTCAATGGACTATGGGGACTAGGGAACACTGTCTGGGGCGCGCCTGCGTACTTACTTCGTCGAGCGATCACCTCTTGTGTATTACCTACTTAGTACTATGCATCTGAAGCATGGTGGCCCGGCAAGAGCCGGATAAAGAATGGACGTATTATTTCGAACGGGTTTGGTAGTCTGCTACACTAACTGGACGCGACGCAAACCAAAGCCATCAGAGCGATGGTCCCCGTATACAGAACTACGCCTGTACCGATCCTACAGCGCGAGGCGGCTCTACCCCCAGCAGAGGTGATACTGGACGCGAAGCTCCACACAGCGTCCACCAGAATCCATCGTCTGGACGAGCGACACCCTCTCCGAACGAGACTCAGGGACAAATCAGGACCAGACTCACGGCTACGACGAATAGCAAGCCTCGTAAGCAAAAATATCGAATACATCGATCCGTTAGAACTCCCCCCTTGGGAGCAACTAGCGGACTGGCAGACAGCCCTCGCCAGGGTCGGCTACGAACCTAATAAGACCAAAGAAGAACAGGCCCTCTCCTTTGCAGGCAGGATGGCAACTTTCTCCAAGCGGGACATTGTTGTCTATACTGACGGGTCCCAGATGTCGGACGGCAGCAGCACCTCCGCCGGAGCAGGCTGGGTAGGGTACCAAGCTACACGGTAGATCTTCCGCGGATCCGAACCACTCGGCTCCCAAACTGAGGTGTATGACGCGGAGGCACATGCTGCGTATCACGGCCTGATGGAAGCCACCCGGGCTCCTACGGCTCGTATGGCAGATAACGTCCACATCTGCCTCGACAACCTCGCAGTCGCGGCTAGACTATACTGTCAGAGCCCTCCCGGATAGGGGCTAGTAAGAGGTAGTAAGGAGTCCAAGCAACAAAGGAACAGCTCAGATATATATACAGCGCAGGGAGTACACGTCGAGGGAGGAGCAGACTTCAGTAATTCATCATTCTACCCCTAACTGCAGTTGGCCTCTGAGAGCTTCCACCCTGCGTCAACATCCCAACTTGACATATACTCCCAGAGCACAGGAAGCAGCCAGGCTAGATTTAGGGCCTTCAATAGGCTCTCTTCCTCCTGGACTCGGAGATAAAGAGAGAGCTGGACAACCCCCGGCAGGGTTTATGTTTGGTGGTGCCCTGGGCACACGGGAGTACCAGGAAATGAAGAAGCGGATGCTCTAGCCAAGGAAGCCTGCAAACTAATCCCAAAATCACAACCATAGCCCTCATTAGCGCACCTAGAAAGGCAAGCTAAAGTAGCTACCTTCCAAGCCTTTGCCAGAAAATGGCTGTCCCAATGCCCTCGGCAATATGCCGACCTCGAGATAATTCTTCACCCCAAGCCGCCCGAACTTCGCCTCCCTCGGCACTTACTAGGAAGGCTATACGCAGCAAGATCCCATCATGGAGACTTTGCAGCATACCACGAGAGATTCGCTCATCAAGATGCGTTGCTCAATTGCAGCTGTGGGAAACCCAAGACACCAGTCCATTTCTACTTCTGCAAGCGTGGACGCAAGGCTACACCGCGCTACCTCCGCCAACGTATGGCCAAAGCAAGCATTGATTTCTTGCTAGGTTCTGCTAAGGGAGCCTCTCTTCTATGCGAATGGATAGAGGAGACCAATTTCTTTTCCGAAATTTGCCCGAGTCATTGAACAGGAACGTTAGGTGAAGACGGTAGCCTGTAACATAGTTTAGATTAGCATAGACCATGTCGGCATAGCGCCCGGCACGTCCTTTTGTTACCAGACGTTAAATACATCATCATCATCATCATCATCAGGTATTCATTAAAAGAAATGAACATGATCCTGGTATCAGTAGCAAGAGTTTCAAAGCAGCAGCTTACTTGGATGCCCTTGAACGGATATTTCTGTCCGCTGTGTATTACTTGACTGTGAATCCAATAAAGAAGTGCAAAAGGATTGTGTTTGCTCCGGGCAATAATCCGAGTCTAATCCAGATTTTGCCTAGATAATTGTAAAAGTAAAAGCGAATGAGATTTGCTCCATGTTATCAGTCCCAAACTTTCTAGACTATGTACTTGGTTGCTCGGACTTATTGGGAAATATCATTGGTAAGGTTGTAGGCCATGTCGCCGAACCTACCATTTCTGGCGGCCCGACCCTCTGCTATCGAATAAGCACAACCTCATTCCCACGTGGAGACAATGTGTTCTTTGAACTAAAGTGAACTCTAGCATGGCCTAGACTCATGGCAGCTTGTCCATTGCAGTGGCGGAGGAGGTAGAGGTGTATTGCTGGAGGCAGCCATGGCGCGATATCTAGACTGCTTCTAGCCCAAGGGCAAGCCACCCCATCAGAGCCTTTCAGAAACCACAGCACACTTAGGAATTGGAAGTTGTGAGGGTGTTTGTGAGTGTTACCTAGTAATTGTGGTTTTGTGATGTAGAGGTTCTCCTTTGCGAGTAAACCTACTTCAAGTTATTCAGTAAAGAAGCAAATGACCGTTAATTATCAATTGTCTAGTTTTCAGGTCTGTTATAGACCCCTGCCCCGTGTCTCTTTCTCCGTCTGACAGCGTGGAAGTCAGTCGACAAAGAGCGCCGAGCATGCCTGTCCGGGATGTTGATGTCTTGGCTGTCTCGCATCTCGTAAGCGATGACAACTCGACCGGGAAACCGCCTCAAACGACTTCACCCGTTCCATGTACTTGGTCGTGTAAGTGGAAGTGTCAAAGTGGCTAGATCCGCATGCCACGCGTAGAATACTTTGATTTCTAACAATGAGCCCGGGTTCTAGATCCAAGGCCACAACCTCACAGCTTTCTATCGAGTCAACTCCCGCGACACATGGCTCACAACATGACGCGCTCCGAAGCTTGCTACCCGACTTCCCTGGGCTCTTGGCACGGGTACGGGTGCCATGGACGGAAAGGCCTCTTTGTGTTGAAGCCTGAAGGCTTATGGTGGTCCCCTCGCTTATGGGATCGCGGCCGACTCTGAGTCTCTCTTGCTGATTCGTCGCTTTGCGAAGTGCGAGTGCGAGTCTAGCTGGATGCAAGTCGGACTAGTATAGGTCCCAGACTCTCGGGACGTCGATCGGCCTGGCCGTTTAGCCCGGAATGTCTGACTGATATCAGCAGAGACACATGGCATGACGCCTCCCTGCCCCCTCCCTTGTCCGCGTTGAGATTCTTCATGGCCGAACGGGGTATAGTTTGCGGCCGGGCCAGGGTAGCGCGATCCCGCTCTCCCCATATGCGGGATGTCAACCGTATGCCACGATGAAGTATGTTGTGTCTTGACCCATTTTGTATAATGCGAAGCGAAATGCTAAGGAATCAAAGGGCTGTTAGGTGCTGCATAGAGCGTTTCCACCTTCTGAATTAATCCTAACGTTCTGGATTAGATCCGATATGGATGAATCTTTGAGAGTGTTCCACGTGTCTCATCTCCCTCTTTTACGGCCGTCGTTCGCTTGGCCGGATGATCACAGACGCAAGCGGCAACTCCTCATTCGACCGCTCACGGAATGCCCCCAGACATAAGTACTACCTCCTGCGCCCCAAGATCTCAACGTCTTCTCCAAGCATCGAGCTGTCTCATGTGACACCCGTCTTCCATCCCTAGCGTCTTCCTCTTAACTCTCACGTCGGCATCATGTCTGCAACTCAGCTCCCGAACGGCTATAAGTCGTTCGGCCCGAAGGCCAACTGCACTCTCGACGTATGCCCGCTCGAGGCCAGTCTACTACGCTATCGCCCTTCAGTACCAGTCAATGGAACATTCATCGGACTCTTTGCTCTGGCCATGGTCATCCATACTATTCAGGGCCTTCGGTCCAAGAACTGGGGGTTCATGGCTAGCATGATCGGTGGATGCTTGCTCGAGATTGTCGGCTATGTTGGGAGGCTAATTCTCAACGATAATCCGTTCTCCTTTGGTGGATTTCTTTTGCAGATCAGTGAGTGCCATCGATGTCCCTATGGCATGACTTGATCTAATCTCTTCTCGTCTCAGTCTGCATCACTGTCGGACCGGTGTTCTTCTGCGCTGCTATCTATGTCATGCTATCTAAAGTGTAAGTCCAACTTGCCGAGACTATCAATCATCCAGTCTTTTGGAGCTCTTGACTAACCTTGGAAGCGCAGAATCATCCACGTCGATCGATCGATATCCAGATTCAACCCGAGATTATGCTACTACCTCTTCATCCCGTGCGACATCGTATCCCTCATCCTACAAGCAACTGGCGGGGCTCTATCCAGCATTGGAAACGATAAGGCGGCCGTACAAAGAGGTGTCAATGTCTCCTTGGCGGGGCTCATCTTTCAAGTCGTCTGTCTCGTCGCCTTTTGTGCTCTCTTCGCAGACTACCTCATCACCTGCATGAGGTCGAATGCTCGACAACGCATGACGAAAAACATGAAAAACTTCTTGGCGTTCCTCTTCATCTCCACCATCCTGATCCTGGTACGATGCTCCTACCGTATCGAGGAACTGAAGGAGGGATACTTCAGCCCCATGTTCCGGAACCAACCCTTGTTCATTGGTCTTGAATCTTCGTGAGTCATTCTACACCCAGAATGCCACTCGGTAGTGTGGCTAACACCTATTCTAGTGTCATGGTATTCGCAGTGTTTTGTCTCGTCATCGGAAACCCTGCGATTGGTTTCAGCACAGCTGGAGAGAGGAAGGAATCGACTGCGTCAGAGGCATTCGATCACCTCCCATCGCGGCAGGCTAGCATGCCTATGGAAATGAGCGGCAGAAAAGACACGTTGCCGGGGTCAATCAGCGTATGAATGAATGATGTTCACGAAGACGATCCGCTGCAATATTTGTTCACCAAGATACCAGAACTTTTTAGTTTGCCCAATTTCTTCTCGTATTAACTCAATTCGAAATACTTGTAACCTTAGTTGCATGCTTGATTCTGAGCTTTTCCATCTAACCCATGATAAGGGACATTACACGTAGTTCCCCAGAGGCGTCTTGCAGCTTTCTGCTGTGAGGCTCAAGTTTCAACATCGCACAGATTACAGATTTACCGTTCTTATGGGTCGTAGTTTGTGTGAGTTCCAGATAAACGAATTGACACCGTCTTATGGCAAATTAACCTATGTCGCTGGGACTCTCCAAGTGAAAATAGTTCAAGAGAGACTCACGCCATCAATCATTTCAGACATCCATCTTGCTACTTGGAGCGTGGGATCCTTCGGACTGCGAAGTTCCATCCCGCTCCTGGCGAGTAGACGGCTCAGGGAGCCCACATCTTGTGCACAAGGGATCATTGGCAGCTTGGCAACCGCATCTTCCCGAACTTTGAAATAATTAGCACGGGCTATTCTCTGCAAAGAGTCTAATATTGCCCACTCACAATCGATTGTAAGCAAGAAGAAACCACATAAACGCAATCATCAACATGAATCCGGTGGTGGCGGCAAAACCCACAAGAAATACGGAGGCGTCGGGGTCCATCTCGAATTTTATGGGATCGATTGCTCGATTTGATTATTCTGTCCGTAGATTGGGAGACCTTGAGATGAGTTGAGTGCGACGCTCGTGTGTTCGTGTCTTCAAACTTCTTCGGTCTGCTTGGATGTGTTGGGAGGTGCTATCCGTTCGTATCCTGGACCTCCAGAATATTGAGTGTATGGCGTGGCCTAGAAGAGCCTTAGAGTGTACTCCCTAGCCAGGGAACCGGCCTTTTATTACCCAGGCCGGAGACAAACAGGTGCCGGCCCTCAAACGTCAAGCCTCACGCCTCCCGACTGACAACCCGGAGGACCTGCAGCGACAGCGGAACGCATCTCTGTTAGAACCCTTCTAGTCGGCAGAAGTCTCATAGTTGGGTTCGTGATTACGCATCTTAAGATGATTGCATTCATGATGGGTCGTCTACAAGAGTGAGCCAGGCGCAGAGCACTTCAGCAGGCACTAGAACTGAGAGCTCCCAGTATCCACCATACGGCATTCAGAATACTCATCAATTACAGCCACCCCGTCGTTATGTGTGTCAACACGCCTTTCCATTAGAAAATAATCAATTTCTTCTATGATTCGGCGTACTGGAGCTTAACACTGACCCCATCTCTAGGAGCCATGGTGAAATGAATATCCTTTCTCGGCTCGCCTTGTGCCCCGATCCAGTCCATGCTCTTGAACCTCTGGATGAGTCTCACCAAGAGATAGGCAGATTCTGTAAGGGCGAATTGTTCTGAAGCAAGTTAGCACTCCAATTCAACAACACTGCGAGCGAATCGGCAATAGGTATGAAGCGACTTACGTCCCAAGCAGATCCTCGGGCCCCCGCTGAACGGGATATAATTCCAATCCAGTCGAACCCCCTCCCATCGCTCCGGCTTAAACTCCATCGCATCCGCCCAAACATCCGAGCGCCGATGCAGCAGATACGGCACAAACGTGACCGTCTGTCCCTTCTTGATCACGATGGGCGACAACCCATCGGCTTCGCCACCTCTAGGCAAGACCGTATCCCGAGCCGCATACCGGCTGTTAAGTGGCACGACATTGTACACTCTCAACGTCTCCCGCAGTACAAATTGAAGATACTGTGATGACTTGAGCGTCGCAAAGTCAACACCCTCGGGGTTCTCAGAGTACTCCCCAAACTCCGCCACCACTTCCTCCCGAAGCCTCTTGAACACGACCGGGTGCCGCGCAAGCATCAGCATGACCCACGAGAGCAGCGTCGCCGTGGTATCTCGACCCGCCAGCAGCATCCCGAGGATCTGGTCCCGCAGCTCCCCGCGGTCCCGCGTCTGCTCCACGAGGGTATCCAGCAAGCTGAACTTGTCCGCCGACGGCTTCGCGCGCTTGAGAGCTAGCTGGACATAGTGGTCGACATACCGGCGGATGTAGTCAATGGACTTATTGCCCACGCTGCTGGGTGCCAGAAAGTACAAGCCCTGCAGCCGGGCGCGCATGACGATGTACATCTGCGCCTCGTGGAAGGCCGAGGCAAAGGACATGTCGCTGCCCGCCTGGTCAGCCGCCATAGCTGTCGCCGCGCTTGTTGATGTCGACATCTTGCCCGTCGCAGCGGCCGTTTGTGAGTCGACGCTTTCGCCAAAGAGGAAGCCGGTCGCGGTGTCGAGCGTGAAACGGAAGATCAAGGGCATAATATCAACAGACAGGCCATCGTCATCAGTCTTCTGACCAACAAGAGGCAGGGCCCGGAGCAGAGCTTGCACGGCACGTTCCGTACCCTCAAGGTCGTTGATGTTCTCCCGCGAGAACTGCGGTCGGAAGAGAGATCTCGAGTGTTCCCAGAAGGGCCCATCGTGGGTGAAGATGTTATTGCCCTCCAACGGCTTGAACTGCGCGATTCTGCGCGGGCCGAGCTCAAAGTCACGGAACTTTGTCGCGAGGATGGCCTGGATGTTGACTGGGTCTATGGTGTTCACCTCATCAGGGCCGAAGAAGCCCGTGGTGCTGAAGGTGTCGCCGCACTTCTTGAACTTTTCGGCAATGACATCGTCGAGGATGTCGCCGCCGCTGCGCACGACCTTGAGGGTGTGCCAGACATAGTCGATGCCGAAGGGAAGTTTCGAGGAAAAGTGCTTGGGAAAAGTTGCGCCGTTTGTCTTGGCGAAGAGAAGAATGCGGCGACGGGCGAGGAAAGTTGAGACGATGTAGTAGATCACGAACGCCGGAAGTGCGAATAGCACTACAGGGGAGGAGAACAGCGCCATGATGGGGAAGTTATTTGGAGTCCAACGTCGCCAGATGCAGAATTTGGGAAACTCGTCGTACAACGTACCAACGAGCCGGACCCCCCACGAGATATATATCTCTCTCACGATGCCTGTCAAAACGTGGCCAGGATGGGTACTAGTCGTACAAGGAAGAGGTGGGTTTTGACCCCCGTTATCGACCATGATCGCTGTCGCACTGGCCTCCACTAGAACCCCAGCTCTTTGGAGGTTTCCGAACTGACGAATCGTAGCAGACGGTACTGCGATTACCCGGCGCGGAGACATGAGTGCCAAGGGAGGAACGATTGTTGGCTTAGTGTTTGCGTTGTATCGACAACCTGGACAAACTTCATCTGCAGGAAAAGCATACGCCCCACCAAATGCTGTTTGCTTGACAATCATAGTTGGAGCCCATAGCTTAGGTGCCCGAAGTGATATCATACTTCGGTCGGCAGAGCTCAATTTTGCGACAACTTTTTGGCGCCGGGATATGGCTATACATGTCTTGGTTCGGACTCCAAAGGTCCAGAGCTCGGACTGGATGGGGTAGCGGTCTAGATTTATGGAGCCCCCACAAAGTAGGTTCGTGATGTTGATTCATCACAATCCACCGAGATGCAAAACATGACTCGACTTTGGTAAAGTCGTCCATGACTTCAGCTTACGTTCATGTGCAGTTGAATCGCTATAGGGGATTTTGCGACGTCGAGAGGAAATAAGGTTCTGACTGCCAAGTCCGAGGAATGGTAGCGTTTAGCGGCGCAGCATCGCTTTAGAGTTCGTGCCTTAGGAACGGGGGGTTGACGCCCTACAACTCCGAACGAGATTGTGTCTGCGTTTTGTGTTAACGAACTGGTTCCTGTTCGTGAGGCTTTAGGGATGTCATTTCGCCAAATATAGCCGTCAAGCGCTTGACGTAACGCAAACCTCTGGATACTCGCATCTTCGTTATCAAGAAAGGTGTTGGGCAGCGATTATCAGGTAGGGGGTCAATGGGATGTATTGATGAGTATGAAGAACGAGTGGCTATGGGAATATCCCGACTATCTATATAGTGAGTGGAAGACCCTTTATACTGGCATATCCTTGGCAAACTTAGTCATGCTTGTGTAAGACCATATTGTTTCATAGGCATAGTGTGACAATCGTTGTAACGAGTGTACTGGGATGGGCCTGACACACCCCCCTAGGTTCAAGTCTTTGCTTGAAGCTATTCACACTTCTTCCTGGCCCAGCAGGTGTGTGATGTTAACAAGACGAAGTTGACGAACGAATTCTCGGTGTTTTTGTGCGTTCAGTGGTTTGGTTAGACCATCAGCGATAGTGCTATTGGTATCCATCCACTTGAAAGTGATGTCTCCTTTCCGACAGACTTGGCGAGCCCACAAATTCTGTATATCGATATGTTTCAGCCTGGAGGTTCTGTGAGGCTTATGGTTGCCATCACCTCATCTAGCCAGGCGTTTGTGAACGCATTGACTGCATCTTTTTGCCAGAAACGAAGTCCAAACCTGGCTCCAAGGGCCATCATGGTTCTGAAGGTTCTGGCAGCAAGAGTTGATGCTGAAGTGTCGAGATCGTTCGGCGGTTGAAGATTGCCTTGGACACAAATCCTTGCTTTGAACTTGTGAAGATAGCCGTGCTTGTCGAACTTATAAGTGAACACCCATAATAAGGGGATAATAAAGTGTTTTTCCTTGTCGACGTTGCAGATCTGAACTCTCTTCCATGTGGCGATATCCCAATGGTGTTTTAGCTCAGATTCACAAGCAGCTTTCCATTCCTTGAAGAAGGGGTGCTTTTGAGCCTCTCTCCAGTTTCTGGGAGTTGGAGGAAGATCTCTCTTGTGCATCTTTCTTGTCGCATCCATCGTTGCGCTATGGAGTGCGCTTGTGTTGGCGGATATGTAGGCGATATACTGCTTCTGATAGAGACCTCTCGATTCAGAGCCTGCTGCCTTTTTACTTGGTTTCCGTCGCCTCGGGGATTTCAGGATGTTGGAAGAGTCAACCCCTTCACTTTTGTCGTATTTCTGGCGTCTTTTGATAACGTTGCTGAGGGGCTGTTGACCTACACCTTCCAAAGTGTTATTGTTGGAAGTATTGCTACCATCTCCACTCGTTGGAGTTGGTGAAGTCGCTGATTGGGTTGGTGATGAATCTTCTGGTCGAGGGGAGCCTTCCACCCACCCAGGTTCGATCTGATGGTCCCTATGTAAGGGTTGATTTTCTTCTTGTTGAGACACTGTCTCTTCTGTGTTGACATAGATGGTGTCATGGATTACTTCGTCTGAAGTAATGGCTGACGATGAAGATGGAAGTGGAGGGCTACTAGACATCACCCCCCCAGCCGAAGAGATATCGAGGCTGGTTTCTGTTCCTCTTACAGAACTGCCAGGCTGGCTGGATAGGCGGTTACCTAGCGACACTTCTTCCCCAAGACAAGGTAGAGTTGGAAGACTATTATCTGGAGCGAAAATAGAACTTTGGCGGTCTGACGGATGAGTTGCATAGGTATCTGGGGCCGCGAAATCCTCTAGAATGGATTCGATATCGTGATCAATATCGTCATGGAGTTCCAACAGGTCTAGATGCACTGTCTGCTCTCTTATCTGTACGGCATCAAGTTGCTGGACTTCTGAAGGATTGTAGACAACTGATTCGTCAAATGACACGTCTCTGGATCTGAAAACCTGATTCAGAGTAGGGACCCATATGCGATAGATGTTCGAGCTATCATATCCACAGAGATAGCCAATATGAGCTCTAGGTGCCATCTTGGCTGACTTTTGGCGGCCAGCCATGTAGTTTTTTGTCAGAGGATAGGCTCTGCAACCATATCTCTTGAGATGGCTAAGCGATGATAGTTCTGGGCGCTTTGTACCCTTGTTGGCATTCAGCCACGCATTCGTCTTTCCTTCTGGTGTCATCCAGTTGATCTTCCTTCTTGGAGTTCGGTTGCCAAGATAGACGGCTGCCGCTGTTGTCTCTGGCCAGAGTTGTGGGGGGAAGTTTGACTGTATACAGAGAGCTCTTGCTGCTGCAAACATAACTCCCCCAGCTCTCTCGGCTTGGCCGTTTTGTGCTGATGTGTATGGTGCTGTTCTCTCCAGAATGATCCCTTCCTCGGAGGTGTAGTCCTCTATGTTGGTCTGTAGAGACACATCCCCATCAAGCCGTAAAAATCGTACAACAATATCGTATTGCACTGAGAGAAACTTGACTAGTTGCTTGATAAATCGAAGGCCAAGAAGTCGTCGATGTGGAAGTGCTCTCTGGAGCTTCAGCTTGGTGTATGGGCATGTGGCGATAATACTGACTTTCGCCCCATTGTACGCTTCCTCCATCAGAAAGAAGTCAATGTTGATCCTCTCGAATGGGTAAGTGGTTTTGTAAATTGGTTGACGTCTTGAGATGCTCCTCATTGCTTTGGCCTGTCTACATGTCTCGCAGTCCTCTATCAGAAGACCCTCTATTCCTGCATCTGAGGATGCCTTGGATAGGTGTTGAAGAGCCGCCTTATTTGCGTGGCTGAGTCGTTCGTGCCACAGTTTGGCGTTCTCCTTGCTGGTTGCTCGAGGCTGAGAAGAGGATGAGAAATAGACTGCCCCTTGGCCGTCAGGAGGCTCGAGATGGTATTGTGATTCTAGTATCCAGATTTGAAATTGAGGACTGCCCTGATTGTCTTCAAGGCATCGTTGCCTTGCCGAGAACCAAAGTCCTTGCTCCTCTAATCTGATGGTACTGATCAGGGTAGTTGGAGCGTCTGGTACTAAATATGCGCTGTTGATTCGTAATTGATGAGGTTGGCCCATTGCATCTACTGCATTGACTATCATGGTCCCTTTTGCGGTTGCAATAATAGGCCCATTTGGGGTGTCAAAGGTCTTCTTGACAGGGTTTAGATCTGCAAAGCGAGATTTGTCCCATGTGAGGGTATCTGATGCCCCGCTGTCAACAAGTACAGCGTGTTTGTTATCGCTGGCTTGAGCGATGTGCTGACAGCTGCCATTTGGTTCTTCTGGCACTGAGCTGGTATCCGACCAGTCAGTATCTGAGTCTGATGGACTGGATGCCCGTATGTAGTTGGCCTTGCTGGCCTTCTGTTCTGCCAATTGGTCTGGAGAGACGCTCTTGGTCCTGCTTTGCTCTATCTTTTCCTTTAGCCTAGGGTTGTTGGCAAGGAAATCTTGAGCCATCTGGATCTTCGCTGTGTCTCCAGTCCAGCCGGATGGACGAATGTATGGGTTCAAATAGAAGCATTCCTGATAAAAGTGCTTCTTCCCGTCTAATAGACAAAAGGGTTTCGGCCTGTTGTCCTTATCCTTTGGTTTTCGGCCAAAAGAAGCGTTGTTGGTGTTGCCCTTGGCTGAAACCCGTGGAGATTGGCCCTCTTCACGCTGTTGCCAAGTGGCATATGCACCGCCTGATTTGGAGTCTTCATCTCCATGCCCAGCCTCTAGCCAGGTTCTCAAATGCTGAAGGATTTTCTTGCCTGTCAGCCGTTCTGATGGATCAACGTCGTCAATTTCTTCCCTGGTTGTATCCCTAGCCATGGGAGCGACGAAGTCTGGATATACCCCTTTCAATGCGTTGAGAAGGGTGGTTTGTTGATGAGGTACACTCATCTCTTCACAGCCCAATCTGACTGCTTTGGAGAGATTGGTCTCACAAGATTGAATCCACTCTTGGGTGCCTGATCTCTTGATCCTCATGAGATGATCTCTATAGGTCTTGTAGGTAAGTCTTTTCTCCGCTTGAGGAGATCGTTGATACCTGTCCTTCAGGCTTCGCAGGGCTTCTCTTGGAGTATCAGCATCCACTAGCCAGGAGAGCATGGTTGGCTCGATAGTGGTGGTGATGTCTCTCATGGTTTTCTGAAGCGCCTGGGTTCTTCGCTCGTACTGCCTAAGCTCCTCGATATATACTCTGCTGTTGGCGTCAAACAGAGTAACTTGGTCGCTATTTGGGTCGACTGGCAGTTGTGATCTGATAGGCGCAGTCAAGGCCTCATCAGAGTCAGGGTTGCAGAACTGCCATATCCCGTTAGATTTGGCATTCATCCTGATGAAGGTATACCAGTCTGGCCAGTCAGATTGGCTTTTAAGGCGAATAGTAGTCTGTACGGTAGACATCTTGTCCGATAGACAAATAGGTCGGTTGTGATACCCGTGGATTGACCAGGTGCCTGCCTGGGCTGCTAATAGACAAAGAGGTAGTTGACTGTGTGATGCTTATTCAGAGTATCCAGTGGTCAGAAAGACAACTGGGCTCATAACTGTTGGGCAGCGATTATCAGGTAGGGGGTCAATGGGATGTATTGATGAGTATGAAGAACGAGTGGCTATGGGAATATCCCGACTATCTATATAGTGAGTGGAAGACCCTTTATACTGGCATATCCTTGGCAAACTTAGTCATGCTTGTGTAAGACCATATTGTTTCATAGGCATAGTGTGACAATCGTTGTAACGAGTGTACTGGGATGGGCCTGACAAAAGGTAATTAGCAACTTGGCAAAGGTCGATCTAGTTAGGATCAACTAACGACATGTTGGTCCCGTTTGGTAATAGGATTTAAACGTCTTCAGTTCCTCAATATTTCTCTAATCACTTACCTGACATCAGTTCATATGGACAAAGGTCAAGTGTCACTACTTGACCTCGAGAACAGACCAAGAGGCGCATTCGCCGGTGGCACATTTATCCTATCAACTGCGGCATGACATCAGTACATAGATACGTACTGCTACTACACATGAGGCATAGCAACGAACCACGTATCATTCCAAGATATTCCGTATCACTTCCGCCCTAACTCCCTTCGACGCACCTAATTAAAAAGTTCAAGAAGGATAAGCGTTGGAGAAAATCGCAGATATCTGTACCGACGTCATGCCTCAGTTGATGGGATCAAATAGCGTGGAAATCTTGAGATGCCTCGACTCCGCCAGGGCAGGGAAAGTGTGGGGCTTGGAAAGGTAGTGGCTCAAAATGAAGCAAGTCAGCGACCTAAACGTTTGTGTAACGTTGTGAAGTGGAATTGGACGTGGGATGGAGTGCACTCGATGAAGAATTTTGTACCTCTGAAGTTGATTGTTGTCGTACGTACCCCCAAGCCATGGCTTCGGCTCCTGCTGACAAGCATTCGACCCACCAGAGAAGCCGGAAGTTCTGCGCCGCTTATGCCAAGCACAGAGACTGGTATCACGTGTCAGCAAAGCCTTGGCAGACAAGAAGCAGCAGCCCATCACTGAAAGCTCAGCCACGAAAGGGGCAATCTGGCTGAAGGATAGGGCTTGAGTTTAGGTGCGATGTTTCGCGACTACGATCGGGCTCAACTGCGAGCAGGAGAGTTCGACGCTTCGTTCTCGGTAGCAATGCATGCGAAGAGTCCGCAAACTTGGATGGACAGTTCGATGAAAGGATGACTCGTTGGCCTGATCTGTGGACAATGTTGTACAAAAATTGAAGGCAAGTAGGGATATATTGATCTTCTGGGTAGGCTGGTGGCAGGGCTTCACTGCTTCAGAGCTTGGTAGCTGTGTCGGGAAGCGTCTCTCTGCAGAGTGACAACGACTTGTGTGATGTTGCCGAAGTCGACGTCGTAATGGAGCTGTTGGTATCCTTTCTTCCCCTTCCTCCCTTCTTATTTTCGTCTCGATATATGGCGCCCTTCGCGCGTCTTCGTTCGTCCGCTCAAGAAGGCCTCGGTGGGTTGGAGCTGAATTGCTTGTCGAAGTCAGCCAAAGTCCCTACCATTCTGGTCTGGTGGTAGGCCTTGCTAGCTTTAGCGTCGGTGCCATTGTTGTGAACGTGGTACATGTTGCTGTCACTGGATGACTTGTTGTCCTCGGAGATTCGATGCTTCGGCAGGGTGTTGTCCGACTCCGCGGTCGAGTGCTTGTGTGATGATTTTCCCGAGGTCCTCCTGGGGGCGCTACTGTCAGCATGTTGCCATTGGGTGCACCATCACCAGCAGAAATGTCTTAGTAAGGAACGTTGCTGGAGGTACCCATTGTGAACAGAGTCCGTGGGACGCATGTTGAAAGGGGGTTCGACGATGGTAAACGCTCAGTAAGAAATGGGCCGAGTTCCTCTGGATTTTGCGGCGCGGTAGAACGCCTGGCTATTGTCTCAATTCACTGCGGTCGTAGCGGAGTAAGCTGTTGGTGCGGATGAGTTCGAGTGAATGAGCATAGTAATATTGTATTGAACGTGAATGGTGACTTGGTCTAAGGTATTTCATACTGATTCTCATGCCTGGCGAACCAGGCTTTTGAAGTGGGAAATCCCAAACCACCCACACTAACATCTGTAAAGATGTGGAATTGCGTTGCCCAGCGTAGTTGTTTGGCTTGGTCGTCGAGAGTCCTCCTTGCCATCATCGGCGGAAAAGTCAGGCGTCCGCTATCGACCTGTAGGCAGATTTTACTTCGTCGTGCTCTGCACGGTCGTGGTGGGGGTGGAGTGAGGGGCAGTCTCGGTTCACCTTATCCTGGTTGGGCACCCCAGACCCCGCTGGATTAAGCTGGATAACAGCATTTCCAGAACACAACGCGCCGGCTACCAACGCAGCTTTGCTCCGCGATGGCCATTGTGTAGACGATTATTGAAAACACTTCACAAGGCAAGCTCTAATCTATCCACGTACCAAGGATAGAAAGTCTGTAACCAACCATGTGGCATGGCTGATGAAGTGCGGCGGTGACACGCTGAGTCATGTGACCATCCAGGCAAGAGTTCATGATGACCATGGACGCGATGTTGCAGGATAACTTCGAAGGGATCTCAAAGTGAAGAAACAAGGAGATAGATTGCACCGACCCATGGGATGAACTCAAAGATAATATACCGGAAAAGAGAAAAGGGAAGACATGCCCCGGCCCTCCGTCGAGACAACGGAGGTCCGACCAGCTCCGGAACCGGGAGACATCCGGCTTCGGAGGTCATCTCGCGGGATCGGCCGGAAGGGCAGATCGAGTTCGGTTCCGAAGTTGCGGTCTCTATCGAACCGTGTATTCCACTCATTGACATCACTCGATGTCAAATCACCCCACCATCTCCTCAAAACAACGCCAGGTGATGGCAATTCGGTGTCAATCCCACGATGCCGCAAGATACACGATACCACGATGCTGCTATTCGCGTCGAAAGTTGAACATATCGGGGCTTACGAGATATGATTCTTGGGGATTGAGACCGCAGGTTAACCGACAGAGTCTAATACCCGGGTCCTTGGAGATTTGTAGGTTTGCCGGCCTTGATTTTCTGGGAGGGTGGAAGTTGTCGTTGATTCGATGGTTACTTATCGGAGCCAAGCCTCAATATGAGCACATGTCGTGTTTCGGTGTCAAAACAGGGCGAGCTGCAGATGGAGATCGTCGAGATGATCCAATCAAAAGCCTGGGAGGTATCAAATGACACACGCAAAAAGTCCGCCTGCAGACAGAGTGAGGCCTCCTGTTTGCCTTGTTCGTTAGCCTGACTGCCTTGTGAGGGGTTGGGCCGCGTCGTTTCTGCCCGATTCCAGGCATCATGAATTCCGCCAAGGGGTTTTGGTTGCCTCGTCTTCAGAAGCGGCTCGCCTTTTCTGAAGTCATGTGACCGTCGGCTCGATCTGCGAGTCGAGACCGGATATCGGGAAATCGGATGTCTTTTGGAACAGCCACGCTCCAAGGTGAATTGGTCGAAGTGGCCTGGAAAGGAAAATATTGTGGTTGTCAAGCGTAAAGTGTAGGGTCCGATAGGTGTCGTAAAGCCTCGAACGAGGGCGAGTTGCTTGGCATTGGTGCGCGCAAAGACCGGAAAGCGCAGACAGCTCGGCACAAAGGACAGAGTGTAGGTTGGTTGTGAATGAAGGGAAACGACGATAGAATGAGTTGGAGAGGTAGGAGAACGAGACGTGACGTTATATGGTTTTTTTGGTGCAAAGTGTGTAAAGAGGAAAAAGAGGAAGAAGATGAAGAAGAGGCAGAAGACCTGTTAACTTAAGTTGACGTGGCGAATGTTGTTGTAAAAACTCACTGGCTGACGGTCTGACCTTAGCACGCCAAGACCTGGATGCGCCTCAGGGTACAGTACCGAGAACGGCGGCTAGACTAGATTGGCCAGACTGTACCTAGTTTGGTCATCACCCCCCTTGTATGCGGCTGCGCAATCTCCGTGAGCATAGGAAGGGAGTCATACGCCAGAGCAGTTCCATAGCGGGGGGGTTGAACTCCGTGAGCCTGCTTCCAGGTACCTATGATGCTCGAAAGCGCCCCACATAATAGGTACGTCCATACGGGACACATGCGCAGGTGCGCGATCTCTCATGGCTATCTCTATCTCCCTCGCTATTGACCAGTGGCTCTATTCTTGCGGATTAGCCAGTAGAGAGACCGAGGTATGTAGTGAAGCATAAGATGGTAGAACCAAGGATGAGAAGGTGGTTGTATGGCAGTCACCTTGTATGATATATCTCACTCCGCTCTTGCTATTCATCTAGGCTTCCATCTAGGGTATCAAGCTTTCTGGCCCGCGGCTTGTGTGATAATAGCTCTATAGATCCGCCACCTCCTGGACCGGAACGAGGCTACCGACCAAGGTTGTTAACAACGCTGCTAACCATCACAGCGACCTCTCGGTCCCAATTGCCCTCCCCTCTTCCCTTGCCCTTCAAAGCACTCGGCATCTGGCACCCTCTGACAACACACTCCCTTACAGCATCTCCAACGCTGGCCCTGTTAGACCGCAACGTACGTGCAGACACCCCGCCGCGGTTCACAATCTCCTGCACCCTTGTGCCCAAATTGCCAGCCATCGTCCGCCAGAAATAGCTAGGCAGACTTCCAGTCTCAAGGTATGCAAGTAGAGGCTGTAGCATGTTGGTCTGCTTCTGCGGCGCCGACACGAGCGGGTGCGCAGGCAGCTTAGTCGACTCAAGAACGAGCTCGAGGGCGACGATGTTCTGGCACCGCGCTGAGATCTCAGCGAGGGTGCGTTCGAGGGAGGGGAGCTGGCCCAGTGACCGCGAAAGCGAGGCGATGGAGGATTGCAGCGCCGAGCGGAAGTATGTCTCTAGGCTCTGCAGGAGCAGCTGCGGCGTCCATCGTTCCGTCTTCTGCGTCGGTACCGGAGAGAGTAGGAAGAGCGTGACCATGGCTGATACGGTTCTTGCCTTGACTTCCTCGCCCTGCGCAAAAGTGGCTGAGTTGGGAATCGCAAAGTCGCGGATAATCTTCTCCGCCGTTTCCTTCACAGACCGCTCGACTGGTGTATTTATAGATTCCCGGAGAGTGCGAATCGCGTCGACCTTTCCTAGACCATGCCCTTCTTCCCCAGGCGCTGTGTTATCAAGAACCTCCCGCAGCGAGAGAATTGTGTGTGAACACCGCACCAGCGCTCGGTGGTCCTCCTTCTTGCCCGCCGCAGCAGCAGCAGCGCTGACGCTAGACCCGGCAATTTCAGTATGCTGGACCTCGAGCTGCCTCCCAAGCTGCAGACACCGTCCCACGGAGCGACCAAGCTTTAGCGTCTCCCATAGCCTCGTAGCAACCTGCCGTACCTCTTCAGCCTCGGCATGTTTATCAATGACTTCCTTCTCGAGCTGCTTATAGCTGTCGTTGAGGTTCTTGATCTGTGCGTCGAGCTCCGAGATGATGCGCTTGCTTGAGGTTGTTTGTTCCTTCGTGTACTGTAGGAGGGGGGCGGCAGACTTTGTCGTCAGGACGTCAATATGGGAATCGATCTCTTGAGTGTCGAAGAGAACGCGGGAGAGGGGTGTGGAAAGATCGAGGGGCGCATCGTTGGGGTTGTTCGTTGCGAGGACGAGGGTGTTTGCGAAGGAGGAGGGGCTAAACTCGGGGTCGAGGAAGGCTTCGTAGTCGATGTAGGAGGGGTCCTCTTCTTCGCGGGTCGTCATGATGGGCAGGTCTGAGCCATTGACTGTCGTTGAGTCAATGTGTGGTGTGGTGTTGGTGTTGCGCCGGTCGAGGGATTGAGCTTGGGAGCTTGGAGGGGAAAGCTCTGGGAATTGTTGATTGAGATGCTCAAGCTCCAGCTGTCCTGTCTTCGTCGAGAGGCGGTACGTACTGCTTGGTCAACAATGCCTTACATAAGACGAAATCACTAGCCACATGGTAGTTGAGCCACACAGACATTGTGCCCCGCAAATTGTTTCTTCCAGCCACAAGTTTAATCCCGCCTTCTTCTCTCACGAACTCCATGATGACGCTATGCTGCCATACGCGGATAGCTTCGGTCGACTGAAAAGCACATTGCCTGTAATCAGATGCTGCGAGATACACAGCATACGTTCTGTCGCTGTTTGTTCCAGGAACGCCCGCCGACAGCCATTGAGTAATCAATCTGCCAAAATCTCATGATCAAAGCCATTTGCACTTCTCACTCACCTGTTTTCTTCCAGGTCCCGGAGCTTCGGCATCTCTACTGACGATCCCAAAGAGGGAAAAAACAAAAAAACACAAATCCGCTGCTCCCGGCCATTCCGTCTCGCTCCCCTCGGTTTCCCATCTCTTCCCGCCGCCGCCCGAACTCTTCCCCATTCCCACACCACACAACGACCAAAGCACCACTGGAGTCTGGAACCACTCGGCACCCAGTCACCCAGTGGAGAAGCAGTCTGTCATCAATGATCTGCGGGTAGCGCCCATTCCCGGCACCTCAATCACCAACCTACTGCGCAGTCGGTGGTCGGTCACTGGCTGGGTGAGCACCAAGGTAGCGTGCCAATACGCTGACTACTCGAACAAAAAACGCGCCTAACTAAAAAAAAAAATCCCCTCCCCCATCTCCGCCTTTCCGGACGTTCCATAAACCATATTGTCATAATACATCATTTTTCGCCAATCCTCTTCTTCTCTCACTTCTCACCTCCCTCCCGCCCTCCTCCTCTTCGATGCAATACCCTCCCTAACTTAAAGCACCGTCGTCAATCTCTCCTCGAGAGCACGTCCTCAATCGATCATCCCTACCGCGAACGACGGAAGCAAAACATTGGACGGCGGCCGACGACGGAAACAAACAACACCGGCCACAGGCCCCGCCCCCAAGCGATCATCTCCGGGCGACCCAGATCAAAACATCTGGACGTCCGATCTTCAACCCTCGAACCAAGAACCTCCAATCCCTCCCCGATTAGACGGCGACGACGGCCAATCCACCCACCCACCATGCTCCATTCCCGCGCCCTCCTCGCCTACCCCCAAGGCGCAAACGACTCCGATACCCTCCTCGGCGGCGTCCACTTCAACCTCACCGTCCTCCGCTTCTGGAACTACACCCTCTACACAAACGGCACAGTCTCCAACGGCTCCAACTGCTACGTCACAGAACAGCCCTACACACCAGTCTACCTCTTACCAAACGGCACCTTCCAAAACTCAACATGGTGCTACGACCCCATAAACCCAATCGGCAAGCGCGCCGGCGTCGGCGTAGGCTTCGGCATAGTGTATGCTTTCGCCCTCATGTTTGTCCTCGCGAACCTGAATCGCCATGGACGGCATTACCTCCCGACGACGAAGCGGTTTTATCCCATAGGACGGCGGTGGCAGTGGTACTATGCGATTCTGGTCTGCGTTGCGGCGTTTATCAGTCTGTTTACCAACATTGACGTCGACCGCTTCTACGTCATTGGATTACCCATCATCATCAATAGCTTCTTCTGGTACCTCATGCAAATGTTCACCATTGCGCTGGTCTGGGAGGCCGTTCGCCACTGGGGAAGCTGGAGCGAGAGACAGGCCATTGACCCGGACCCGTTCTCCCTGCGCGAGGGTGATCGTCGTAGCAAGCTCGAGTTCTGGATGCCATTGTGGTTCTACCTTTGGTTGTGGCTGGTATGTCCATTCTCCCTCCCCCATTCACGCCATCCCCAAGATACTCAACCTCCAAAACACCAACTAACACGTACCCTAGAACTTCTTCCTCATCATCCCCCGCAACTGGGGCGAAATCGAAAAACAACGCTCCCCAGACCAAACCGCCGCCCGCGCCGCCCCCTCCGCAACAGACGCCCGCTTCAAAGCAGCAACCTTCTGCCTCGTAGTCTGCTACCTCACCATCCTCGCCTCCCTCCGCCACTCCATAAAACACTACTACCCCCGCAACCGCGGCCCCCTCAACAAGTTCGCCGGCTTCCTCCGCTACACCCCCTGGCGCTTCCTCCTCATCCTCCCCTGACGGCATGCCTCATCGCATACCAGGGTCTCGTATCCTGGAACTTTGCCTACTCCGTCTTGAACGCCAAAGCGAGTCTGGCGGCTGTCTATGCTGGAGGCTACGGGCCCGCGCTGTTGATCATCTACACGCAAATCGCATACGGATTCACCTCCCCCAACGAAGATAAAGAACTCATCCGCCAGCGCCGCAAGCGCGGAACGCAAATCGATCGGGAGATGGGATACGTGCCCAAACCCGCATGGTGGCGTCGCGCAAAGAACAACGACCACCTCGTAAGCCAGATGAGTATGCGCGAGCGCATCGCGCGCAACGTCCGCGAACTAGGCGGTGGGCGCGCCACGTCCCGCGGCATAGACGAGACGCTCGAGGCAAGGGCTGCTGAGCGTGAGCAAGCGCAACAAGCTGAGGAGCGAGAGATTGAAATGGGTAGCTTCCACGGGCACTCATCGAGACCGAGTTCCATGCACGGGTCTCTACGACCTGGCTTTGACGCAGCGGATCCGTCTACTTTTACTTCCTACAGCGGAAAATCAGACCGCCGCCGTAACGAAAGGGCAATGAACGCTGCTGCAGAACTCCTCTTCCCAGGCGCCGGACCTCGCATCGACCGGTCCGCCGAGTTAATGCAAAATGGCCCGCCACCGCCGTCCTACACCGACGTCCAGAGTGGGAGCGGTGCAGGTCGGGGCAGGACACCGGATAGTTCTTCAACGACTCATGGGGCAGGGGAGAGGAGTCACAGCGCGAGTACAGCCGTGTCAATGACGCAGCAGCCGCAGCAGGTGAAGAGCATGTTGGATATTTGATTGTAGTATGACGCCTACCCGGGGCATGAAATATTGGAAAGTTATAAAGATCACGAGGTATGAATCATCTAAGAAAGTATGTATTGTGTGTATATCTGCCGCCGGCGCTTGGAAGGTGTGATATCTGGGATGTAGAAATCAGGTATCTTAGACCAAGTGCCGAGTTCACTATTCAGAATATAATGGTAAAATTATTCTCAATACTGTTATCGTAGATTGGTTCTTGTGACTTGGTTCTCGTAGCATGATTCTCAGTGTCTGCATGGTACAGTCATGGAAGAAGATACCCTAGTCTCCAAGTGTCCAGAGGAAGCTCGTGGAGAAAATCTCGCCCATCTTGCATCTGGGACGAAGAAACCAGTGACTACTAGAGAGGCGCCGAGCTTTTTGGTATGATAGATGCAATAGGAGGATTATTCTCTATACAATTCCTGGATGATACTCGCTGTCTGATGCTCGTTCGCTTCGTATCGAAGACAAAAGATATCTTCATCGTGAACTCTCTATAATTACGCATCGCATAGGAAGCTTAGGAAGAAACTCGCCCATGGACACCGGCTCGCCGGCGGACAATACTCCATAGCAAGCTTGGCCACTTGGCTGTCACTGTACAAGATATTCAGTGGAATGTAGTAACTTACCCCGTATACCGTCACCCATCTGGCGAGACCGCACTTGGCTCCCCCGTTCCCTTCTCGGGGACCTACATCAGCCTCCCTCTGCATGTCGGGTAGCCGCATCCTGTCCCATCTGACAGGTCGTCTCCCCAGATTTGTCCTATCACAATGTTATCGTCAGGCCGAACCAGCTCTCACAGACCTCACTTCGTAAACTTGAGGTACCGGGCTCGTATCAACAGCGGTGTCAGTCAGTACAGCCTCGGATCGGGACAAACATCCTGATCCCCGACTCGAGATGAGCGCTCCCACGCCACAGCGCCCCTGTCCGGAGAGACACAGCGTCTTCGGATGAGATGTGCGCACTGCCCAAGACTGAAGGCATGGACTCATCAGTGTTCGGACCAAGTCGCTGAGTAAAGCCGCTCCCGGCGGTGAGGAGAGCCCTCATGTCGTTCGTCAAAAGCGTGCGTGTGCTCGGACGAGTCACGAAAGCTTCGATACAAACGTCGAATATTCCACGTCCTTCTTTGCCACTCCGCGGAAAGTTTGAACCCTGGTGTAAGTCCTACTATTCGAAAGCAGCATGTGAATAGGGTAGGCAGGCCTGGACTTGAACTGCCAAAAGTCATGTACCCAACCGCATGTGAAGTTTGAGTTCATGACTCGTCAGCCGCCATCTCATCAACAGTTCGACTCTAAGACCATCCATCTGTCACCCGATGGGAGGTCAAAGCAACGGCAGGCGTCGTTCATCCAATGGCAGCAGCCAGATAACCCAGGAACAGATCTCAGTCGATGCGGAGAAGAATAAGAAAACCAACAACGTAGCTAGCCGCAGAGGGGGTGGGAGGGGGCCGCGAGACCAGGAACCAGGAGCGTGAGCGGGAAAAAGCAACGGGACCGGGTGTTGGCGATGCAGGCGGCTTTGTGCCTCGTGCCTGAACAAAAGCGGCTGGCGCAAGACGTCTGTTGCTTCTCTCTCTTGCTCTCTCTCTCTCTCTCTCTCTCTCTCTCTCTCTCGGTGACAGTCTAATACCTCACGGAAAGATAAGATGCAGGTCGGCGCCCCTCTCGGTCCCGACCAACGACCTCGCCCGGGCGATGGAAGCACTAGGGGCGCGCCGGAGGTTTATGCCTCGTCATAGTCGTGGAAGGGATCGGTCGGTCGGCGGGTGAAGGATGACTGCATGGACTGTTAGTTGGAGCGGAGGGCTAAATCGCCCACTCACACATCAATGTCAGTCCTCATCGGCAGCATTGGCATGTGTGTTCGAAACGAAACATGTCAGCCAGCGCAGCCACGGCCGCCCCTCAGCGCATGCGTTGGCTGCATGTCACAACAGGGGAGTTCCTACGACATGCGCAGGTGGCCGAATGATGGAGACTTTCAATCTCGCGGATTCTCGTGGGCAAAAGGCACCGGCCAACAAGATCTGTTGAGAAAGACTGCAGTGCTGCCAAAGGGGAGGGAATATGGCTGGCTACTCCGACTAGATAGGTAAACTGCTCTAGCAGCAGTGTCTTCGGATGCGAGCCCATGCACGTCTGCATGTTGTGCGCCGCACTGGGGACAGCTCGCAGGCTACTGCCTGCGCATGCATGGCGCTATTCATGCGTCTCGTTGTACACTTTTAGCCCAGTTAGCCAGCTACGGTTTTTACAACATCGATAACGGAGAGGAAACGGTGCGTGGCGTGAACCGGCCGGCCGTAAGTCGTTGTATACGGGAGGAACTCGAGACTCAAGGGATGTCTGCGTGGGCGAGAGGCTTCGTTCATCGTCGGGGGCCGCGTTGGTGCAGTTGCTTAGACACCGAGGTAAACCCTTGTAAAAGAGCGGTGAGAGAGGGACACTACGCCGGTGACAAAAGACAGGTTTGTTGGAATGGGGTCCGAAGCGCCTTGACTCTTGACCAGACACGCCAGAATGAGGGAAAAAGAGCATCCGTCTCAGGGATGGGCCTAGCTTGGTAAACGACCAAGCCAAGGCGTGCAGCGTAACTTGCAACCTTTGGATCTGCATGAGGCGAACGATGGTCGATGTCGGATGGCATCTTGTGCGGCTCGCGGAGAGCATTGTTGTCTCTCGCTCGCCGCTCGTCTCGCCTATCGCCCTGGCCGACAAGACGGTGTGGACTATCCGCACCTACATCAAGTCAATCTAGTGCATGGACCAGTATCGATCGCCTTTGCATCTTGCATCGCGATTGTAAGTGGGCATCCAGTATCCCACGCGGGGCAGTTGACACGAAGCATCGACAGGTACGATGGAGATGAATGCAGCTGTGGAGCAGCCATTCAATAATGTGCTGTTCGCCGATAGCTGCGGGCGCGAACGCTGATTCGAAATATAACGCTGGCGTTCGATGGCAAAGCCCGAGTAAGCGCAAGCTGCTGCGGCAAGAAACCAGTTTACACACTTCTCGCTGGTGGACTTTGCGTGAGATGGGTTACCTTTGACCAGTTTGATCGGAAAGCCAGTACAATTAACAAATCCATCCATGACTGCCGCGATATCTGCAGGGGTTCAAGCTTCAGCCGTGCAAGCCTATTAACGCGATAATGGAATTCTCGAGTGTCGTTTCCAAAGACCCCCGTCTGGTGCCTGAAGCACAATGTGGCGTAGAATGTCGCACAAAGTTGATTCAGCCCATGGCTACGGCAGCTCCCTTGCCTGGATCACAGGTTCGGCCATGTCTTAGACCTTCGGCGGTGAGATCCAAGCGAGCGGTCACTTTGATCGACTTTTTCGACAGACGTGGCTGGTCGCGTCCAAGTAGCAGAAAGTACCCCTGAACCACGAGATGCTTTCGGGAGAAAAGGTAGCCAAGTGGCTGTGACGAAAGGCCTCGCCTCTTGCCCATGGCTTCGCATTCTCGACAGACTCGGCAGGCAAGTGCTGAAGCAGCAGATTTGTCTCGCTGCCCGGGACGGACTACCGAACTTCGTGGCGTTCTACCGAGGCTCTACAGAACAGCTCGAGATCCAGGCGTACTTTTCTACCGTAAGGATTCGAGAAGATGGTTGCTGAGGCTGTACAGATATGCAAACTACAGTACCCAGAGAACCACACCGAGAATCCGAGCTGCATGAACAGGGTCGCAGTCAAGAACGGATATGCAGATTGTCCTCGTCGGGCCAAAGCACAACACTCGCAGCAGTGTGAGCGCAGTGAGGATGCCAATGCCAATTCCAGGTACGGTTCGAAACTTCGAGTCCAGCGACCTGCATATGGCTGCAGTCTCCCACGCGCGTCTCCCAAAACGGCATCCCGCCTACTGCGTATCCGTAGTCACAGTGATCCTCCGGGCATCCCATCCCCCTCCCTCGTCGATTCGCATGCATCAGCGCCTACTGCTGTCTTTTGCACTTTGTTTGAAACGAGCCAAGATGTGTCCTCGTGAGGGGTTTGGGAGGTGTGAGTGGGAGAGAGGTCAGATTGCTCAGCGCTCTCGTCATCCCTCCGCCATTATCAACCTGTCAACCTATAGGTCTTCTGGGTTGGATGTTGGATGCGGAGGGGTGGGTGCGATTTTCAACCAAATAACGCGGCGGGTTAAAGAATCTCAGTATGTAGAGCTCGATAACAATGGCGCAAGGAGAGGCTTTGCTCGAGTACCAGTAGCAAACTCATGCTGGCGCCAGTGTCCCAACGCTTGATGCATTCCAACCACGGCGCTTCCAAGCTTGCGTCCTTGGAAGGACGGGCGGGATCTCGCCCTGAGTTTTGATCAGCGATCCGATGCTTGCGCGCCCATTGTTTCCGCTGACAGGCCGTAGTGGCCAGGCGCTAGGCCGCCCGTGTACCGGCATCTTCCCAGCAGACCGTTGACACGCGAAGCCAAGGGGCGGGGATTCCGATGCATTGTTTCATCCGCGCAGAGTCTAAAATTCCTCATTCTCCGAGCAAGGAGGACGAACTGCCAGGTGCTAGGATCATTTGGTGGGGGGTGCCACGCATGGGCTGACCTGAACTGGGCAGTTCAGACTGACGCAGATACTTCGTTCATGGTCGTCGCTCTGGGCCAACTGGGAAGCGAGCTCAACATCACCTGATCCGTCGGACTAGACAGCTACTGGGTGGGCCCTTCATCAGTTGTTTAACACCGACGAAAATCGAGAATCAACGTCGTGCTATGCGACAGTTCACAGTGGCTATGAGCTGATGCGATGGTTGGCGGCGCAGCGCAGATAAGCACGCGCAAGGTTGTGAGTGTCGTCAGGGGGGTTTACATTGTCTGTTCGCTCGTGAAGAGGACGAGAGATGGAAAGTGAGTGAGGTGCCTGGGAAAGAGTTAGAGGCGCCGGGTCGTTCGAGTCCTGATGGGCGCTGTCAGATCCGCCAAAATGACCTAACCAACGAAGTCGACAACGGGCAAGATGTTGTGGGATTTGGGATAGCTTCTCAACTTTGAAAGAAAACGGTGGTCGATGCTGGTCTATCTGTGCGGAGGGGACGCCGATCAAGCCCTTGAAACGACGAGGGCGGCGAGTTTAATGGCGGCTTGGTAAAGAATTATTGAGCGTCGCTGGCGTATGATGACATAGGGTCTTGGTGATCTTCAGCAGCGACGGTGGAGCGGCCTGGTGAGAAATTCTGCGATCTGGCAGTGAAGATCGGCGGGCATCCTTGCCCTCCACGCCCTCTAGCCAGCGAGCGGCGCCAGCCTTACTCTAGACGGTAGGGCATAAGAATCGGTGTCGTGGTGTCCCTGCGGCCATCACCCAGCAGTCCAGGACCAGGGCCAGGTGGCCAGCCCCCCGCGTTCGGTCAAATGCGGGGCAGTAACGTAGAGCATCGGCAGGTTTCCATCCATCCCAGGCGTACAGTGGTACATGCTGTAAATGCAGGCATGCAGGCACGAAGGGTGCTGAAGCACATCGTGGAGAATGCGGCTGGAGTTTGTGCGTGCTTATTGCAGAAGGGCGACCTCCCTGTCCTGTCTGGCTGATAAGAAACAGCAGGTCGGCAGGCGAATGCAGTTTTGCGACGAACGAGAGGTCGGAGAGTGCGAAGAATCAGAACATGGCTGCTAGGGAGACGTTCGTGTGTGGGCGGTACGAGCTGGCGATAAGGTCGACTGAATCAGTCCCGAACCGCAGGGCGAGAATAATGTCGGTGATTGATTGCCGCGCACACGTATTACACAGGACAGCGACTTGGTAAGTCTGCTAGCGTGGTCGAGACCGAAACACTTGGGTTTGAGTGTGTCTTTGGCTGCAACTGTCGGATCGATTGTTGTACCGTGGCGGTGACATGTTGAATGCGATTTTGACGAGATGGTGGGGAAGCTGGATAACGACCGGCTTCCATCTGCCGGGCTGTGACTCCTACACCGAGATCGCCAATGCGATTGAGCTGGAGCAACAATGCATCGCAAAGGGTGATTCCGAAAGAGCCAAGAGAGCCTTTTTCAGCAGTGTTTCCTTGGCGCGTATGCAGTTTGTGTCGAAGTTGTTGGCATCGTTCCGAGGATGAATGAGTAGTCGGCGTGGATTCTCGATTGACGATGGCTTCTTCGATGTTCAACCCGGGTAGGCGACTCCAGGCTAGATCCAGGCACAAGGGTAGGTAGCTCCCATGGTCATTACGAGATGGTTGTCACGGGACGAGGACGGACCCTATCGAATGGTGAGAGGTGACGGCAGCGACTTTGTGTTTTTGATGGTGTTCGTCCGGGGTTGGACCCGGTCGGTGTCTGGGTTTGGGTCACACTGAGCTCGACTGTGGCAGGGCAAGGGAGGGCCGCCCTTGATGGCTGATGTCGAGAACGAGTGCCTGGTCTCGGTCTCTCAGACGATGGCTCGCAAGAAAATCACAGAATGTGTTATGTGGCGATGCTCCATTGTCGCTGTGATTCTAACGTGATTGGTGAGAGTTCCAGAGCCCGTCACTCCCGTCCTTCACCTAGCCGGGCGGTCTGGTCTGATGGTGTCCATCCCAGGGAAGGGCCCGATGAGAGGGTTGTGAGGGTGTGCCAACAGAGCAAAAGTACGCGAGTGTGAGTGGGCTGGTGGGTTGGCGTGCGTCTGGCGTGCGGCATCCCTTGAGCCAAGGCGAAGCCGCGAAGGAAGTTATGACTCTGGCGGGTGTGAGCGATGTAGCCGTAGGAGGTAAAGTAGGGAGTCAGTCGTACCGATAGCCAGAGAGGATTCGTGGTGTATGGTGTAGTGCTGGAGGATTTGATGCGTCTCAGGATGTTGGCCCGGCTGGAATGGAGGAATTGGTGCCGAGACGGAGCTGAGGTTGAGGATGGTGATGGGTGATGGGTGGTGACAGACGGCAGATGCGGAGTGGACGTTGGCAGATGGCAAAGGGCAGATGGGTACGGAGGTACGGAGAAGAGGACACAACATGGAAGGAGACAACGTGGGCAACGGCCGGGCATGCGGAATTCTTGGCTGTCAGTCTGAGACGAAAAGGGAGAGTCCAAACCGCTGGAGAATTTGGATGGTTTGGTGCCTTCCCTTGGAACGTATTATCTAAGGTACCTTACCTCAGAAGATGGAAGCCGAAAAGAGCAAGATGCAGCACCTTGATGAATGATCATTTACATCGGGCAAGAAAGAAACACCAGAGATGGAAGCGACGATATCGGCTCTTTCCCGGTGCAGGGTGTTTGTGCCTGATCTTTCCTCTCCATTCTTCAAACTCGTGGAGTCCGGACCCACTCGGCGTTGGCATCGCCTGCCTCTTCCTGTTCCTGATCTGCCATGTCACGTTGTTCCTGCCTCTTAATGGAAAGCTAGGTACAAGCTCATAATGCCCCGTTTCTTGGTCCTCCTTGGTCCGGGCCTTCTCTAACAATCGCCGGCGGGAGACATGGGCGAGGGTACATCCTGAAGATGGAAGGCAAGGCATGGAAGGCAAGACCGAAAGTAAGGTACGTATCAATACCGTAAATGGTGTGTCGTAAGACGTTCAGAAGTCGCACCTTAGCTACGGCGAGGCAGTCCAAGAAATAGATAGACACGTATGATGCGGCACCACGGCACGAATAAGGTGCATATTCTCGCCCGTGACATTACTTGGCCAGACACAGTTAATCAACATGCTTCCCGTGGCTCGTGTCTATCATCATGCGACCCACGGTTCGGCAAGCTGTACCTGTGTGCCTTACCTTAGCTGCTGCTTGCTTCCTTGGGCGAAACGGAAGCAACGGAAGAAAGGAAACGCAATAAGCTCTGATGGGCCGGGGCTGAGAACTGGCACGTGCCTGGTAGTCGCCTCCGGCACGCCGTGCTGTCCCGGTCTCCCGTTGAGAAAATCACCCGTCTTGGTCCGTGTCGTCGTTCGCGGCTCGTTTATCTGGGAAATGGGTTCCGCTCTTCCACTACACTTGCTACTTTTGCAGTGGTTGACTAAGTGGCTTGCTTGTCGTCCGGGCACTTGACGAGACACATAGCGACACACATATATCCTCGATTTAGCATTGTAGGCATTGTAAGGCATATATGCAAGGCGCATATCGGTACCAAGGCATATCTGTCTCTGGTAAGAAACCTTACCGTTCAGGGCCAGTGCAGGTCGGGTCCAGGTTGAAGACGGAACGGCGGCGCCTCGATTGCGGGGTGGATTCTCGCTTGGCGGGTGACGGGTGAGGGACTGAGTGCACAGGCCTCGTCTGTCTTTCCCCTCTCGGCCATGGCTTTTTATAGAAAGGAAGGCCCCTGGGCTCTGGGAGGACGTTGACAGGGCCAGGGACAGGCACAAGGAAGACGGGGGGGGGGCAAAGACTGGAAGGTCACAGACGGCAGACGCCAACACCTGGTCCCCGGGCACTTTGAGGTGCCTGGGCTAAGGCGGCGCCAGACTGTTAGTGGTGGCTGTTAAGAGACGAGGAAGCGAAGCTGTCGAAGAAGTTGAGGTGCGAGGGTGCTTACCTGAGAAAAAAAAGGCGGCCAGTGAGGGCGCACCCAACCCCTCGCATGATGCAGCAGAAAAAAAAAAAGAAGAGGGGCGGGGTGATGGAGGGGGAGGTAGGGGGAGGGGCACAGTCCATGTACCTTGGTCACGGCAGACACAGCCAAGGGGTACATTCGACACATCATCCCGCCGTCCAAAATGGACTTGCGGCTTGCGGCTTGCGACAGACAGCTCAAGTAAGCGCAAAAGGTACGGGTACCTAGGTGGATGGATGGATGGATGAATTTTCAAGTCCGGCCGGGCTGGGAGAGAACCTCTTGCTTCCTTTGCAAAGGTACGGAGTACTCATGCCTGCCTCCTGCGTTGACCACCTGCACCGACCACTCGTTTTTACTACCGTGAGGAAGGAACCTGGAAGGCAGGGCCAGGCACCGAACCCCTTCGGCTCCTCTCAACGTGCGCCTTCTTCAGAAACATCGTGTTGGACCCGTCTTGGTGCATCAGCTAAGGCACGGAAGTAAGGCAGGTCGGGTAAAGTGCCTCAGGTACAGCGAGTGGCTGCCTCAAGTAAACAATCCAAGGTACCGTCTCGTTCCTGACTGTTTTGATGTTCGCAATGTGTCGGAGGAAGGTACGGATGTAAAGACACCTGATATGTGGTGTATTAGGTGGTGAGCGAGGCACTTGATGGTCGCGCTGCCGTGCCGTCCGTACCTGACTGACTGCTGACCCGGACCTGACCAAACTGACTTTTCACTGACCCGAGTGACCCCGTGCCTGCCCTGACTTGAACCTCGTAAGTTTGATTGTGCCTTCCTAAGTTCCTGTCGTCAGCCCGCGCAAAGTTCGGGCTGTGTCTTGTCGCATCGCCGGGCCTTGGCTTACCTTATCCCCTTATCCTTATCGCCGCCCCTACGTCCCCTCACTCATCCTCTTTCGCGTCCACCTCCACCTCCGGCCCAGGTGAGAACCGTGAAAGCCACAGAGGCACAGCACACACCACCCGACCATGAGCATCGATCATCTCTCTCAGACTTGGCCTCTCTACTTGAGGGATCCCGGGATACTTACGTTGCCTTACCTTAATTGCTCTCCATCCATCATCCTATCGAGTCATCCATCACCAGCTTAGAAGAAGAATAAACACTCAGCCAACATCTCGACGACGCCGAGCCGAGCCCCCAATCCCCGACCGCCGGCACGCACACATCCAACACCGTCAACCATCAATATCCATCAACTTGACTCTTCGTACACGGATATCCATGATATCTTGCCCAGTGACACTTTTCAGCTTCCGTCACCAGCCTCCCACCGCTCGTTGTCGCATCCACTTCTTCGGAGACCGCTTTCTAGCTTCTATCCACGACACTACCAGACTACCTACTACGGCACCATCCTAGTCGATCAAGTACCTACAAGCAGCCGTGCCTCGGAGGCCAAGCATCCACGCATCCACGCACCCGCCCATCGTGGCACCGAATGCATCCTGCCGTTTATCCCTTTTGCGTCCGTATCCGTCCAACTTTGTCCCCGCCTACTCTACCGCCTACCCCTGCGTAGGGTAGCAGCACAGCGCATCAACAAGGAAAACGCCGCCAAAGCCAAAAGGCCCAGCTGCCAGCAGAAGGCCAGAAGGAGGCAGGGCAAGGTTCTCGACGGTATCCGTACCTTACTGTATGTACGGACACGCTACAGTGTAATCCACAGGACGGGAACCCACTGCGGCCTGCCTCGCGCATCAACCACCGTCAGGACTCACCAGATGCCCCAGTTTGGCAAGCACCAGTACCAGCACCAGCATCACCACCACCAACGGCGGCGGCATCAAACTCCAAAACCAGCGGCGCATCGCAACCTCGGGCCAGGCTCCTCACCTCACAGGCTCACAGACTGGCTTGGCCGCCGTCCCTTTTAACTTTGACCTCATCAACCTCGCATCTCGCGTCTCGCACCCGTCAACAAACCACCCCCATAACTCAACCTGGCCACCAATCCCCTGCGGTGCCTCGACCTTTCATCCTTTGTTCCTGACAAACCCTCGAACCCACGGACAATCTTTGCAAGACCAGCATTCGCATTGTATCCCCGTCTCTGCCTGTGTGCCTGCACTCGACCAAGCCAGCCAGCCATAATCGGTACCTTACGTCTGGCCCGCCGCCCTGTCTGGCACTGGCCGCGCCGTCACAGCAACTCCGCCAACCAACCTCCCCGTGTGCCCCTCTCCCTGGAGCCCGGCGCTGGAGTCACCACGTTCGTCGCTTCTTATCCCCCGCTACCTTTTAGCAAAGGAGGCAAACCGTCTCCTACCCCTCGCTCGACGCTGTCCTCCGTTTTCCACGCGCCCGCCAGGGAGCAACCTATCGACTGCCAGTTTCCTCGAGGCTTTTTCCCGCCCGCAGACGGATGAGCAAGCCACATTTCCCACCGTTCCGGCCACTCTCGCCTCCCGTCCGTTGCCAGTCCGTCCTAGGTAGTCCTGACTCCTGCGGACCTCGACCTCGACCCCCCAACCGCCCGGCTGACTGGGAGCTCACACCAAGCCGTCTGACTTTCATGTACCCCTTGTACCTCCCGCCAATCGACTCCACCAATACCACTACCGCCGCCAGGTCCTGGTTCTGACCCTGACCCTGGCGTCCGGCCCTGGCCCTGGACCTGGCCTGCCCTTGGGTCCACCAACTCTTTCTCGCACACGAGTACCGCCAGCGCTTCCGTGTGCTGTGGCCCATCATCAACTACGAATACTTACGAATCCTCCCTCGCCCTCGCTGCAAACCATCTTATTTCTCCCTTCCTCTCCCTCTCTATTACTCTCAGCGAGTAGGTATACAGAGAATCTTTGACACATACAATTTCGCCAACCAAGACTCCTTTGTACCTTTAAACACCCCCAAGACTCAGGACCAACACGGCCTGCCCTATAACGCTCGATACTTTAGCTGATATTCGGTCCATACGGATACTGCAAGTCGGCAACCTACGAAATCGTCTACCAAAACGCAAGGCACCCAGCTCGCAAACCCGTCAACTCGGATCTTGATTGGCATTGGACCGGACTACATTGGCTCTGCGATAGCCCACAGACACTCCCACCCAAATTCGCCGACTTGGTGCGCCGGACCCCCCAAGACGCACACGACGCACACCCCCAAGAGGAGGCTGGTTGGTTGGCTCCTCCAACCCATTTTAGACAAACTCCGCCCAGCTCTCGACACTACCTGTCGCTGGACTCGAACGAACGCAAGCAGGCGTAAAGCCGGAGGCAGGGGGAAAGAAAAGTCAGCGAGGAACCACTGAGAACCACTTTACTGCAGCCAGCAGGGTCAGATCAAGGCACGTCTTTCATCATCGACCATTCATCGCCACACTCCCCTGGCAGGTCCTTTTCTAGAGCCGCCTGCCCCTCGCCCTACAGTCTCCTTACCAACTTGTCTCTCTTCTCTTCGTCCTCCACTCTGCTCCGTTTATACTACGAAAGACGCAGTCGGTATCCGTACTCAACCGCGCTACCGCTACCAAACCGGCCTTGCACCTTGTTTCCAGCAGACCACCCCACTCCTCAAGGCCCGGGGATAGATCATCGACGTCGGTCGCACTTCCATCGGCGCTCTACGGTTCTCATCTCTCTACCACACATATCCGGCTCACGACACCTTTGTCGCCCTTTCAAAGCCCGTTGCCGCCGCCACCACAACCACTTCCCCCACGCATACTCGGAACGGAGAGACACTCAAGAGTTCGAACCCAGACTTGTTAACAAGTATTCGGATGACTTGATTTAGACTCGGGACATTTTTTCTTCTTTCTTCTTCCCTTTACCCCCTCTCATTCCGCCTTTCCCCCACCCTTCTTCAGCCCGCTCTCCCCCCGGCTCAATCATTCTCAAATACCACCTTCCGCAGCTCGCTCTCCCCGCACCTGTGTGCTTTTGTGCTCGACTCGGCCTTGCCAGCCTGCGTCCGCACTATCTCCTCGACAGCAAGAGGTTTTCAACAGGCTGTCTTCCGCGACGCCCGCTTATCCCGAATCACAGCACAGCTTGAAGATGGCCGCTGCATTTAGACCAGTAAATTCGCCCTTGCCTGGTGCTGACATCAAGATGGACGACAAGATGATGACGACGTCACCAACCACACCGAAGCCAAGCACTGCACCGCTCCCGCGGACACCACAGCCCATGGCCGAGGATGTGAAGACACCCACGAAAGCGACCTTTAGCAGTGGTAGCGGCACCACAGGTCTGGCTTCCCAGAAGCCTCTACCAAGCTCGCCATTTCCCCAGGCCGTCCAGGTTCCCGAGAGTGCCGAGAAGGTCAAGACCCCGACAAGAGCGAATTCACAACACTCGAGAAGATCAAGGGACTCGGAAGATGTGGACATGGACGAGTCCGACGGCGAAGGTGAAGAGGGATCTGACGACGACAGCGTGAATGCCGACGGTACCAGATCCAACAAGAAGAAGAAGTCACAGCGATTCTACTGCACCGATTATCCGCCCTGCAACTTGAGCTTTACTCGAAGCGAACATTTGGCTAGGCACATTCGGTAGGTCCTCTGGCATTCCCACAGACGAGCGTTTGCTAACCGTCGCAGGAAACACACCGGCGAGAGACCTTTCCAGTGTCACTGTTCGCGCCGTTTCTCCCGTCTCGATAACCTGCGACAACACGCACAGACGGTGCACGTCAACGAGGACATCCCCATAGATTCCTTGGCCGCGACTGGTGCTAGATTCCAGAGGCAGATGCGCACTGAGCGTGTGCGTCAGCAGGGTGGCAGGGCTCGCGCATCAACGGCTGGCAGCACGCCTGGTGGTCCTGTCAGGGGTCACTCCAAGTCGCTGTCGACATCCAGCATCGCCAGTGTCGGCTCCATCGGCTCTGCTTTCGGGCCTCGAGATGACATCCGAAGACGCCCTCCGCCTCTCGTCATGGCAAGCGACCCTCGCTCCCGCCTGTCACTCGAATCGTACCGAAGTGCTGGAGACGGTCATTATGGCTATCGCCCTGTCTCGCCAACTGACTATAGCACGCCGACGTCAGCAACGTTCTCGACTGGCCAGAGCAGCCCGCGATGGGGTTCGGCAATCGCTTCTCCTACCACCACGCACTCCCGATCTCATAGCATGTACTCTTCTGGGTCGCGGACTCCGGGTCGGAGACTCAGCGTGCCGTCCGGCGTCAATCCTTTCCAGTCACCGCACGGCGCACCGGTCAACAGGATCGTCTATGGTAACGGACCTGTCAACACTTCCAACATGGGAGCCTTCTCCCCCGCCCCCAGCAGCCATCTGGCATCGCCGACCACGCCGACGTCTGGATGGTCTGGGAGAAGGGACTCGACATCGTCTAATGCAGACGAGGCCTGGCGCAGGCGGACTTGGCATCCTGACACGAGGACCTTTAACACCAACACCAGCCACCTCAGCAACGTCCTCACTCCCAGTCAAATTCAACCGAACCCCGCACCGCCCATTGCCAATGCTCTCAACCCTCAGCAGACACTTCGGTTGCCTGGCATTGAATCTTTTGACCCCCTGCCGTCCAGACAGGTGTCGCCTCCTCGACGGATCCCTTCGCCGATGATGGTTGATGCTGAGGGTGCCCACCGCCGCCCCATGCTGCCTGGCACCGAGGCAGTCGCTGATGAGCGACGGAATGTTGCTCAATGGGATATGAGCTTGCACCGTGGCCTGACCAGACTTGACATTGCCTCCAACACCACACCTCCCCGCGATAGCGCCGGTGCGTGGGCAAATGAAGTGAACCAGGCAGTGCAGGCACAAGCAGAGCAGGTGCGCTTGAACCCGCCCACAGTGAGATTCGAGGTCGACCCGCCGTCGTACGCCAACTCGGGCGCTTTCACTCGCAATCACCAGCACACAATGTCGGCCCCGTCCTTTGCACACCGAGACACCAAACGCCATGGATGGTATCATGGTCCTTCCGGTAGCAACGTCCACGGGCCTCGACCGGAAGCGCCTAGCCACGATTCTCGCGGACCCCATGTCAACCGTATGGTTCATCCCAACATTGGACACTTTGCCGGGTTTCCTGGGCGACAGCCTGAGCCGCAGCAAGCCCAGCAGCAGCAGCAGCAGCATCAGCCTGGCAACCCTGACCCCCTGAGACGGCTGGAGGCGTTGGTGGCCGTTGCTACGAGTGAGGGAACTACCGCCACCGCGTACTGAGATTCTCCGAATGCTTGTCACGCCTCTCTACAACCTTTCCGCCATGTGCCATAAGGCGATGGTACATATACGCAACACGACTGACGAATTTCCTTTTTTCCTATCTGGAATCATGTCAGCAGGGCTTTCAATCTCTGCATGGCATACAGTCGCTTTCTTATCATGATATCCCGTTTTTACCAAGTTTGGTGGGCAACTGCATTTTTTCTATGGCGGGCGTTGATACATAGCGTTGATTTTGCTCTCCTATCTGTCTGGGTGTCACCACCCTCATCTCAGCTCATCTGGATTACGGTCGACTTTTCCACTTTTCCGTTTACATTTATCTTTTCTTTTCTATTTTTGATATCCTGCTTCAACATTTATGATTTCAGTTTGTCATCAGGTTTGGTTTACCATTGACGGTTCCGGGTTTTGTGGCAGCGATTTCGCAAGTAGAATTTCCTATCTCGGCTTTTGATTCCCCGTAACGTTTGCTCACGATCAATGAGATACCCACTCATTCCGGGATGATGGATTCAGTGGTGGATAGTAATGTGTCGCTCTCTCTGCGGTTGAGACGGACAAACAGTCGGCCTGCACGCATGTATATGGAGGCAGGCTAGGGATGGAAGGGCAAGGTTGGCGGATATGTGGACGAGATACCCGAGCTTGGTAACGACCAGCAGCTCTGATTTTACGGGAGGCCTGGTCGATGCTCACAAAGTTGGAAGCGATGGTTTCAAGGCCATCACCAAGGATCGGGCGGTATACATGTGTCTGTAGGCGTACAACCGGAAGGAATAACGACGCACATGCTCTCAATGATTATCTTATCTGGAAATTGTTCTCTCTCTTGGTGACTGTATGCGATTCAGTGATGTGCTCTGTGAATTTGCTTGTGATGAAGGGAATGACACCAAGGTAGGGCGAGAGATGGCCAGCCTCTTTATGCACGATGATGTGGTTATAGTCAGCAGCGCTGCAGCTTGTCTGTCAGCCTCCAGCCAATGAAGCAGGTTCAGTGACGACGATCAAGAGATTGGGAGACGCGGGGGAAAGATTTGATGGATCTGCCAATCTGCGCCCGGGTTCAAACTCTAGCGGGGTGGAATGGTGCCGGACAATCTTGTAGGATGAACGCCGTGGACTTGCTTACGGTTCATTAACCCCCCCGGCGCCTTTCGGAGGAATGCCGATCATGTCTGCCGAAGTTTCTTCAGCGGTCAGCCCGTTGGAGGTGGATCCGAGGTCCCGGGGCTAGAGGATGCCGGGTGACCGCGGATGAATCCCTCCCACCCCGCCGCTGGAGATATTTCCTAATCACTTTTGTGGCTTTTACGATCGGAGTCTAGGATGGATCCGGGAGTCCGTTAGTGTTGGATTATTGGACCGACGGTTAGGATTTCAATGTAGTACGTTTTTCTCATGTTTTATCCTTTTCATAGAGGTACGCGTGTAGCATTCAGTAGGAAGTGCGAGGTCAAGCGTTTGGAATTTGCTGGATGAGGTGTCTATAGTATTATTCAAGTAGGTTTCCAGGTCGCCGATGAGTCCCAATCTAGGTCATGATCTCCTTGGCTCGAGAGGAATTCGTCTGATGGTTGTTTCGAGATCGGGTGCCGGGTGCGGGGGTCGGGCGGAGCGGTATTTGCTAGTTGCAACTCACCTATGGTCTTAGCTCGGTAACAACGCGGGGGAGAGGAGAGGGCGGGGAAAAGATGAAGACTGGTAACCTGGAGAATGGAGTCGTTAGCTTGGAGTATCCACAACGTTGCAAGAGACGAACGGGGCCGAGGGATGGGGACCGAGGATGGGGGATGAGTATTTATTACCGGTTCGCCCGGTGTTTTGGGTTCTTAATTCTGCTGTGTTAGAAGTACGGAGACTGATCTTTTCCCCGTTCGTGGATCTCTCCATCTTGTTTCCGACGAAGGGAACTTGATACACCCGGTCAAAATGTTCACCGCGCACATCCCGAAGCCCCCGGGCCTCATCGGGACAACACTGCTCGCCCTCGCCGCCCTCACACCCTCAACATCCGCATCCACATCCACATCCGCAAAATGCGACCCTTCAACATTCACATTCCCCTCCACCCTTGACCTCGAACACATCAAAACAACAGCCATTGAAGTCCACAACTACACCGGCTTCCCAAACCGATTCTCCGAGGCGTCCCTCTCCACAACATCCGCCCCGACCACCGGCATCCCGCCATTCTGCAACGTCACGGTATCATACACCCATCCAGGCCACGGCGATGTCGTCAACGTACACGTCTGGCTGCCCCTCGAGAAAGACGCTTGGAATAGGCGATTCATGGGTTTAGGCGGCGGCGGATTCGTAGTCGGCGAAGTCGACGGCGACGCGCCGAGCGCCGCAATCCAGGAAGGCTACGTCGCTGCCGTTACGGACGGCGGGCATCTCGCCAGCACCCCACCCGATGTCTGGGCGCTACGAAGCCCTGGAAATCTGGACTGGCCGCAGCTGGTCAACTTTGGATACAGGAGTTTGCATGAGCTCGCTGTTGTGGGCAAGGCCGTTTTGAAGGGGTATTATGAGGAGGAGGAGAGGTATAGTTACTTTAAGGGGTGTTCGACGGGGGGAAGGCAGGGACTGGCTGTGGCGCAGAAGTACCCCGGGGACTTTGACGGGGTGTTAAGTATGTGTCCTGCGGTGGAGTTTCCTGCCATGGTGACGTCGTTGTATTTTGGGCAGTTGGTTATGCAGTGGAGGGGGCATTGGCCTTCTGGGTGTGAGTTGGGTGCTATTGTGGCAGCTGGGGTTGAGGAGTGTGATTTGGGGGATGGGAAGGGGGATGGGATTATTGGTAGGGTCGGGGAGTGTGGGTTTGATGTGAGGTCGGCGGAGGGAAGGGAGTTTGCTTGTGAGGGAGCAGATGGGAGGAAGATTGAGGGGAGGGTGTCGAGGGCGGCGGTTGAGGTTGTTGAGGAGGTTGTTGGGGGTGTTTTGGACGACGAGGGGAGGGCGATGTTTCCGAGTTATGTTCCTGGGACGCAGTTTGCGGGATTCCTTGCTATGATGAATAGTGTCTGCCAGGATGAGGCCGATCGAACGCGGTGTAAGGGTGTGCCGTTCTCCGTGGCGGATGAGTGGATTCGGTTGTTTATCGAGAAGGATCCGGCGTTTGAGCCGGAGAAGATGTCGAGGGAGACGTTCCGGGATGTCTTCCGGCGGGGCGTGGAGGAGTTTGATTCTGTTATCGGGACACCTGTGCCGGATCTGAGGAGGTTTAGGGAGCGCGGGGGTAAGGTGTTGATGTGGCACGGCATGGCGGACCAGGCCATCTCTATCAAGATCGGACGCGGGTTGTATGAGAAGGCTAAGGGGATTGAGACCAAGCGTGGGGTTGAGATTGAAGGGTTCTGGCGGTATTTTGAGGTTCCGGGGGTGAATCACTGTGTCTCGATGACCGGGGCGCCGTTCCCCTGGAGTGCGTTGAAGAAGTTGAGGTCGTGGGTTGAGAATGGGGTTGCGCCGGGGCAGTTGGATGCGAGGGGGTTCAAGGTGGGAGAAGATGGGAGGGTGGTTGTTGATGAGGAGGTTAGAAGGATTTGTCTTTATCCTGAGGAGGGGGTTTGGGATGGCAAGAAATGGGTTTGTGTTAGCCCGGGTGAGAAGATTGGACAGGGTGAGAAGGAGGAGCTCTGAGGTTGACGGTCCATGGTAATGTGCTCTTAGAGTTGGAGCAAGATATCAGAGCGTGGATATGTCAAGGGTACATATGAGACTTGCATCCCGACCATTTATTCATACATGGTATATACACACACAAACATCTACATAAACTCCCTTATTTCCACCGTCTACAAGGGTGCGCCTCAGTATTGAACACAAACTCATCCAAACTCACCAACCTAGGCTCGCTAAAGATGAGATAGAAATACTTCAACGTCTCCCCCATCCAAAACGACTCCATCGAATCCGACTGCGGAGGCCGCCCCTCAGCAGTAACATCCCACACCGCCGTATTCGCCAGCTCCGTGCTCGTGGCGTTGTCAATGGACGAAAACATGTCCCACGCGGAGTCTAGCAAGCTCGCGTCGCCGGTGGTGCGGTACATGATAAACACGCTCTCTATCGCCTCGGGGCGAAGAATATAGCGACGATCCGGGACGGCAGAGAATCCTGGGACGAGGCGGTCCTTTTTGATGATTTCGTCTGCTGTGAGGACCTCGTCGTCGTCCTCCTTCCTTTCTGCGCGCTCGAGGACGTGTTTTTTGTAGAGGGCTTCGTCCCAGGTGCATTTGGCTTTGGAGGGGCAGGGGACCATGTAAAACGTCTCTGGCATGATGCCGTGTGGGAAGGATTTGTAGGCGTACACGCACCCGTCGACGAGCTTCCTCGCTACGGATACTTCGTCGGGGTGGTTGAAGAGTTTCCCGCCCAGCGCGAGAAGCCCGCCCATGAAGCAGACGAGGTGCTGGCCCTGGGGCTCCTGTTCAATGGTGCGCAGGCCGTTCGTCTCGCGGGAGTGTACCTGCCCCGCGATGAGGATGTCTTCGTTGGTGGGCGTCATGGGCCGGAAGAGGTTATGTTCGATGGCGGGTTTGACGGCGGCTTCGTACATGGACTTGTACATCCCGCTGCGTCCGCCTACGAGGGCGGACATCTTGGGGAGATATTCGTAGAGGGAGTCGGCCATTGCGCCGAGGGTGAAGTCGTCGCCTTGGTTGAAGACCTCGTCTTTTGGGTTTACGACGAGCGGCCAGAGGCCTGGGATGTTGGTTTTGTTCTGCTGCCGTTCGAAGATTTCCATGATGCGTTGTGTTGCGTCCCAGTACTTTGGATCACCGGTTAGTATTGAGAGACGCGTGAATTCCATAGAGAGGCTGCCGATCTCCGCTACCAGGGCACCGTTCCCGACGTTCTGTGCGTCACCGCGGGCTGCATCGCCGACTTTCCAGCGGGTGATGGGCATGCGGTTGGGCGTGTCAAAGGCTTTGTAGAGCATCTCGCCGACCTCGGCTGCTTTCCGGAGGAGGCGGACGTCGCCTGAGAGGTCAAAGGCCGAGAGGAAGCCGCCTAGGTAGCGGATGGTTGTTTCAAAGACGTTGATGTCGTCGAGGTCGGTGTGCGTGAAGTCGATAGTCTCAGCGGCGGTGACGGCTTCATTAAAGTCGGACTTCATGTCCATTATCCAAAGGGTGTCGAGGGAGTCTACGAGGGTCGCGGCCCAGCCTCCGAACGTATTCCGGCGGCCGCCTGAGACGGGGGTCAGTTCGTCTGAGAGCCAGGCGTGTTTCCGGTACGATGTCCAGGCTTTTTGAAACGCTTTCTTGACAGTCCGTTGGCGTTCTTCGCGGACGCGGCGTTGGGTGCTCGTCTCGGGCGGGAAATGGGCTTGGACTTGGGGGAAGCGGACGGAGGGGACGGCGGGCAGTTGGCGGAGGGGTTCCGGGGCCGGGTGGTGGACTTTGACGGTCCGCCAGAAGTATGTTTCGTCTTGTTCCGTCATCCATTCTATCGGTTTTGGCGGGGTGGCTGATGAGGATGAGGATGAGGATGAGGATGTTGGGAATGTGGGCAGGCCGCCGTCGTTGTGCCAGAGGAGGAGGAGAAGGGAGACGGGGAGGCCTAGGAGGACGATGCCTGGCATTTTCCGCCTTGCCAGAAGCATCTTCTCTCTGTGCTTTTTTTTTTGGGGGGGGGGGGGGGGGGGGTATCTAGGACTGTCACTCTCCGGTCTGGATACACACGTGTCAAACGTGGATATCGCGTCGTGGAAAGTGAGAAAACGGAGAACACGCGAGAGGAGAAAATGAGAGAGAGTGTGAACAAAAACCGAGACCGTTGCTGTTTCCTTTGCTTCGGGCCCAGAGTTTGGCGGTCGTTTACGTATTTTGGATTGCGGCCAGGCCGGATTTCTGTCCTTATCAACCCCCGCCTATGAGTTGTTGGTGAGAAACTTGGAAAGGGTCTCAGGGGTTGCGGGCTTGTTTGCTCGTTTATCTCTTTCTTTATTTTTGTTGCTCCCCGTTTGGCTGTGCCGCTCGAGGAAGAGAAGGCAGAAGAGGGGCGAAGAGTCGGGCGCTTACAGATTTTGGGTTGTGCGGGCGGCGGCGGCGCCCCTGACAGTCATTTTCAATGCGTATGCATGTGAGGTCTGTTGGTTTGCGCCCTGGTTGTGATCCTTGTCATTCACATCTTGGCGGTTGATCGCTACCGTTTGACGCGGAGGAGGGGATGATTTGAGAGGGACGCAAAGGAAACGCATCCCGCGCAGCCCTGTACAGTACGGATTCGCGATCGAGGCTGCGCGATAACTCTTTGGGTGATTCGGCAATATGACCACGTCGGCTCGTTGCAGTGTCGACTTTTGTCTGTTGGACTAGGGATCATGGGTAGCTCGGTCTGGGCATGGCTAGTGCCGTTGCACCATTCAGCATCCCTTGCTTCAGCCTTCAACTCCGGGCCGCCGGCTTTGATAGGAAAAGAAGTGAGTCAAATCCAAGGAAGAGGGTTGATCTCTCGAGTCGAGCCAGGTTCCAGAGGTACCGTACCCGGGCCTCACGGCGTCAGAAGTCTCAACGGCCCACGATAAAAGGTTGAGCGGCGGCCACATCAGAGACCCCCAAGGCTAACTGCTGCACGGTAGTAACGCGCGCTCAAAGCGCCCATTCTAATTTCTCTCAATATGCAGCTTAACGCCGGGCAAATTCACCTAAGTGGTCATACCGTTCCGTCGGGACGGAAACCCCGCTTGTGGCTTTGTGCCATTGGTTGAGTTTCTTACTAGCTGCATAGTATCTACGGCAGACTGCAAGAGGCACTCCGCCAAAACACTTTTTTCATATGGCAAAGCAGAAATCGAATTTTATAGTCACCCCACCACCGATTATTAAACTTTACACTAAAAAAAAAAACCTATAAATATAGTTTATATAGAATTACGGCTTAAAATATATTATTAATTAAATTTATAAGACCCTATTGTTACGAGCTGGACAAGGCAATCAACTGTGGCACAAAGCAAAAGCTTCGATAATGATGACTCCGCATCATTTTCCCTTGTTCTGCATTATATAGCTACGCGCCCACAGTGACAAGTTGCGGCGGGCGTAACACCTATAACTAGTAATAAGGAAGAGGGTAATATATAGTTTTAATTGATTTTATACGTTGTGGCTAAATTAACTTACATAAAAGGTAGAAAGGTCTAAGAGAGTGCGTCGCTCACTATTTAAGTACGTTACCTCTAGTTAGTTATAAATAATAATTTATTATATTAGTTATACGGGATTAATCTTTAATATTTATTTATACGTAGGATACGTAACTATAGTACTTTAATGTATTTAATTATACGGCCATTATAAGTCTATTGAGAAAAAGTGTTTTGGCGGAGTGCCTCTTGTAGTCTGCCGTAGTATCGACATGGGAATTGTCTTGGCTGTCCTATCATAGCAGTTGAGAGTGTCGACTTTTAATCCTGGGGCCTGAACTAACGAACGAGTTAACAAATCGAGGAGACACTGTGTCGGTAGGTGGTAGAGAGATAGCGCAAAAGAGCCCGCGATGCGTCTGAGCATCGAGGCTGTGTTTAGAGTTGACCGGATCCTGTTGCAAGAGGCTGAAAAAGGATTGGGCGTACCGGGTTGTTGTGGTTTGATGTGGGTGTCTGAGGTAGGCGGCGCAGCCCGTAGAGTCGGAGTTGCGGTGGGAGTTGTGGCAACCATGAAAGAGTTAATAACTTGCTAGTGCCTCGCTGTAACCCGCTTGTCACAATCTGGTAGTTTGCTTGCCTCTCCCTTGGACCATACTCTCACTTGTGCAGGTGCCTTCTGGGAACATCAACCGGTCAAGTTCATTCTGGAACCTGGAGTTCCGGGTTGACAAGGGCATCAACATCATGGCATCCCATCCATTTCTGTCCCTCCTAATCACCCTTCTTCTCTCCTTGGCACAGGTGCGAGCTGCCTGCTACTACCCAGACGGCAGCATCGCCCCCAACGATACACCATGCCAGGACCTAACGGCCGAGTCGACTTGCTGCGGGCAGGGCTACGCGTGCCTCTCGAACGCCATGTGTGAGGCAACGGGCAAAGAGTTATCAAAGGACGGGGCGACGGAGCTCGTGAGGGGCTCGTGTACTGACCGGTCCTGGCGGAGCTCGACTTGTCCTCTGTTCTGCATCAACCCGGAGACGGATAACGTGGGGGGCGGCATCGGGGTTGCAAAGTGTGAGGGGACGGCGGAGGAGTTGTATTATTGTATCAACTCGGTTATGGACACGGATAATTGCACGGCCAAAAAGAATGTCCTATTTTTCCAGCGTAAGTCATTTGTGCTTTTTCTTTTTCTTCCCTCAGTATGTTCCTCAATTTTGCGCACCTCTTTGAGCAAAGTACTTACCAACCTCATTGCCGCAGAATCACCAACTGCAATCACAACCATCGGCGTAGCAGCCACACCAACTCCATCATCGTCAACAACATCCGAGTCAACTTTAGTCGCCACAACCGTTATCATCAGCCCTTCTGCCAATCCTTCGAGTGCTCCGAACCCGAGCTCGGTAGCATTAAGTAGCGTAACTCAAAGTTCAACACAAAGTCCCACAAGCAGTCCCGAAACCAGCCCCACCACGGAGCCAGAGGCAACAAATGACAAGACGGTCATCATCGGCGCGGCTGTTGGGGCTTCCATAGGTGGTCTAGCACTCGGGGTCCTCGCGGCATGGCTGTTCATCTTTCTCCGTCGACGAAAGCGCCGTACCCGAGAAGAGGCAGCCCAAACACAGGTGCAATACTACACGCCGGGGCCGCCGCCTGCTCGATACGTCAGTCCGCCTGTGTTTGATCAAGTTTACGAAGCGCCTAACGAGTGGAAACCTCCCTTGGTGTCGGATCACTTTGCTCCTCAGGAGCTGCCTGGGTGGTCGCCGGAGCCTCGGAGAAACTGATCTGTGTAATCGCGACGTCTTTTTCCTATTTAGTTTCATCTTATGATAGCATGTAATGATACCACAGTCGGCTTTGAAAGGTAGATAGATATTTCGTAATGATATATGGCATGCTCTGTCTCACGAGTTGGACGACTTGGATGTTTGGATGAATTGTTATCATGTTTATGTACTTTTAGAACAAGAGTCAATACAGACAAGAAAAGGTCCTATATCTAGGGGTATCAATAGCATCATATCGCTTAGTACCAAAGAGCCTTGTTCCAGAACTTGGCCTGGGCATTCGCCAGGTCGTCCTCCTCAAGGCAAAAGGTGGTGTTGAAGACGAGCTGAGTGCCAGCGGCAGAGCTATTGCCGTACTGGGGCCACTCGATCTTGTCCTCGGACCACATGGTGTTGGGGTTGCCGGTCAGGACGAAGGACATGAGGTACTTCTGCATCATGACGGCGACGGTGGCGTTGACGGAGGTGGATCCGCCGGGTCCGCCGGCACCGCCTGCACCGTGAGGGCCACCGGCGCTAGAAGAAGCAGTTGCCGAAGCGGCGGCAGAGGTTGCAGTCGAGTTGGAAGCGGTGGAGTTGGACGTGGTGGTGCCGGTGCTGGAGGTGGAGTCGGAGATGGAGTAGGTGCTGTACCCTGTTCAATGTGTTAGATGATATATGACATGCAGAGTGGAAGGGATTTAAACTTACAGTAGTAGCTCTGGTCAGTGCCGTGAGTGGCCTGGTCCAGGGCAACCATGGCGTTCCAGGTCTGGTTGTTCATGGCGTGGGTCAGGGCCAGGTTGTGAGCAGTCAAGTCGAAATGCTGCTCCATATCGGAGAAACGCAGACCGGGGGAGGTGTAGTCGTCCTCGGGGTAAAGCGACAGGATCTCGTCAACAATGGTATCGCTGATGGCGGGGAAGAATATGCGGAGGTAAGCTGCAACGTCGTCGGTGGTGTTCACGCCATCGTAGGCCTGGCCGTTGGCCTCGTGCTGCTGCTCGTGGGTGATGACGACGGGGCCGGAGAAGTTGAAGCGGCGCTGGTAGAACTGGGCCTCGTAGGTGTCGGCGATGATGTCGCCGTCAACGCGGGGCTGGAACTGGTAGTCATAGGCGTCCTGGACCGTGGTGGCGGCCGTGTTGAGGGTGTCGAAGTCGATGGAGCGCATGCACTTGAGGCTGCCACCGGAGCAGCCGGCCTCGGTGGAGACGTTTTGCCAGAAGGCCTCGGCGTGCTGGTGGCCGGCGCCGGGAACGAAGCCGGGGGACATGACGTAGGCGCGGTTGTAAAGCTGCTCGGCGCGGCCGGCGAAGCGCTTCACAGGAGTTAGCTTAAATGTCCAGCCTGGTAGTCAGTTCAAGACAAGTACTCACAGTCATCTGGAAGAGAGTCTGGGAGCCACCGGCAGAGAAGCCAACGGCGGTTACATCGTCGGGGTTACCGCCAAAGTTGCTGATGTACTTCTTGGTCCACTCGAACGCGGCCGTGACGTCCCAGATGGCAGTGTTGGAGGTACCACCCTCGTGCAAGAAAGTAGGGCCGTTGGCAAGGCCGGTCATACCGAGACGGTAGTTGTACGCGACGTAGAAGAAGTCGGTGGAAAGGTCGAAGAGTCCCTCAGGAGTGTTCTCGGACTTGCTGCCACCGGTGAAGCCACCACCGTAGGTCCACACCATGACAAGCAGGTTCTTGCCCGCGGCGTCAGCGGGCGCCCAGACGTCGACGTACAAGCAGTCCTCGGCGGAGCTGCAGGCGACGTCGGCCGAGGCCAAGTCGCCGGTGTTGATTTCCGTCTCGACGGGGGGCGCTTGGGGGGCGGCCCATCGGAGGTCGCCAATGGGGACAGCGGCGTAGCGGATGTTTTGGTACTTATAGTAGCCGACGGACTCGTTGCCGGCGGTAGCGACAACAGTGCAGTAGTCGAGGGTCACTGACGGGAGGGATCCGGAGCCAGAGGTCGCTGTCGGGGCCGGGGCGGTTGTCTGGGCCGCGGCCTAAGCTGCCATCAGCAGGCGAGTGTTTGTGAACTTCATCTTGATTTCGAGATTTGAAGCGAAGGTGAATAGCGATCGAAGGTGAATAGCGATCGGAGGTTGTTGGTTTGCGATGCTCCTTAGAAGTCTTCTCGTTTCAAGGTCAACATCGTGGGCTGTTTATATAACAGAAAGCCTACCACTTCTTCAACTCCTTTTTCGAGCGGACTTTTCACCAAGACGGTGATCGCCGTTCTAACCGGTGACAACGACGCGTCCTCCGAGCCGGGTGACGTTGTCCACCTCTGAGCCTCATTTGCAAATCGTCATGCCACCCTCCTCGGAAAACCCAACATTAAGGATCATTTCGACAAGCAAGCGTCGTGGGGAACATCTCTGGGTCTCCAAGGTTTCTTTTTAGAAGGTTAAACAACTGCACAATTGGCCTATTTCGCTCGCAAAAGCCCCACCAAGAGGGCCTTATTAGTGGGATGAACTCTTAGTGTGGCTCAAGTTCATGAATCGCCTGCGCGGCTTCGCCATCCCTTGGCTCTAGCGCAAGGAACTTACCGTCCCCTTAACTCGTTTTTCACTTTTTTGAGTAGTCATCGGTTCCCACAAGTCTGAACACGTCCTTCACGGCTTTTGCTTTCCCCAGGTTCAGGATTCGAGAAGAGTCGTTGGCCCTTGGGAGCGGCGATGGTTGAAGCTTGACGTGCCGATCTTCAGCCCAGCCAAGCTCCGCGGAGTGTGGGAGGTGGGGTTGAAGCGAGAAGACGGGCCGGAACTAATATCGAGAACATCTCTGATCACACTCTACCCACTTCCCGAGTTACGATGGACAACAGGGATCTGATAACTGGATATCAATCTTCGGATCTCCCGACAAAAGTGCTCATATTATAATGGTTGAGGCAGGTCTTGACCCAGTCGCCGTTTGCTCTGTTTCATTACTAAACAGTAAAGTCGCTCGTCTAGATTATTCTTCGCAACAGCGAGAGGTTAAATGCGAAACCGAGACTCTGCCAGCGAATCCCTAGCCTTTGGCATTCTGTGGTAAATAAGGCGTAATTGCTGGCCGGCAATTACGGATTCGTTTTTGTACGACACATTCTCAACCGTATCGGATAAGTCCGGTGTATACTAGACTGTTCCTTCATGGTGGTTCTATGACTGGTAATGGCGAGTACAACCAATACTTGTGATTCAATGTACTCGAATTTCGCCACTTCATGTCAGGATTATCTCTTTGGCCACCACCACAACGAAATCCAACCACATTCGTTTCGCTACATATTCCATAAACAGGAGGCAACTAGAACACGGCTTCTGACTGATCACAATCTCGGCCTTTGTGAGTGTCTCCATGTGTTGGTAATGGAAAAGAATTTCGAGTCTGATTTGTCTGTCGCGATTATCAACGTTCTCAACAAATAATTGATGCTTGTGGGCAACGAAGCAAAGCAACTGAGCCTCGACGTGACTGGCGTGATACAACCCCTGCGCAGAACTGGGATCCAGCTCGTGAGGCTCGAAAACGAACCCAATTCTCTTCGCAAAACTCAGCGTCTTATACGCCCAGTAGTTAGAGTCTAGCTTGCTGTATTCGCCCCCAGTCAACGGGAACTGGGTGCCGATGCCAGCCCAACCGCCAACCGCGACAACTGTCTCAAAGGGTGTGCCTCGGACAAGGACGCCTACCGTCTGATCCTGACGCGCGATCGGAATGCCTCGTTTTGGATTAATCAACAGAGCAGTTTTCACGTCTGAAGACTTGACGAACCGGGGTTGGAACAAATTGGCGAGATCCGTCTTGGCGAGTTGAGAACGAATAGGAGGTGCAACTCCCAGAAGAGCTCTAATATGTCTCCGTCGGCTCTTTGACTTGAACGGTTTCTCTGCGTAATCGACGTGGCGATACTCCCTCTCTTCGTCGTTTCTATCATTCTCCTCGGCAAAGTCGGCAGCGACTCTCCCATCTCGGTCTTTCTGTGTCGCACTTGCCCCGGCGGCGAGGAGTATCCCGACTAATTCGACACGAGTCCAGAGGGCAGCCTCCATCAGGGGTGTGCGGCCTCGATTGTCCCCTGCATTGATGTCTACGCCTAGTCGAAGGAGTTCCTGTACATTTGTGCGGTTCCCGTGGGCCACCTCCATGGATAGCCTTGGAGAGCCTAGAGTTCCTTCAATGCGTAGGTCGTGGTTGAAGTGAGGGCAAGTCGCGTAGTCGTGAACGCAACCCCAACGGTCCCCTTTTTCGTTTGCCCCTGTCCCAAATTTTGGCAAGTCCCTTGCCTGGGCAGGGCTGATGACATTGTCCCGTCTCTCGTTTCCAAAAGGAACAGCATGGTCTTTGATGCTGATGCTCTCAAAGTGGTCCACCAAGCTGTTGCTCTGACTTGACCGGGTAGGCTCCGGCAAAGAATGCACTCCGGGGTCCTGGAAACCAACCGTTTCGAAACATTCAAAATGTGAGTCGTCAGTCTTCTCCGATGGAGAGGTCCCGATCTGCCACGACAGCTTCCTCACAGCATCATGCTTTTCAAAAGGAAAGACAAGCCTGTATGTGTAGCCGGCGGTAATGCATGGTGCGATGAAGAACCACATTGTCTCTGGCTCCAATCCTCGGAAAGTGTATGGACTGTTTGACCTCGGCTTACGTAGACTCTGCTCGCCGCTTGGGAAGAAGCTGATGGTATGCCGATGGGGTTGTTCGCAGAAGGGACATTGGGCGAGTGCCCATGTCGCGTCCCATCGCAATACTCTTGCAATAGCTCGGGAACCGTTTAGTCGCTGAAACTTGGAAACTAACGATGAGGAGGGAAGTGTTGAATTCTGTGTAGTCGAAGCCATAATAAGTCGTGGATGTGACGTGATAGCTTAAAAAGTTGAGTTCCTGCGGGGTTGAATAATGACACACGCCACGATAATTAGGGAGAGGGAAGACGACAGACAAGAAATTCAGAGTCGCAATCTTCATGCATGTTACGATCTCGATGACCTGTTTCAATGTCCGATGAACGGTTTTGGCCTAGTTGGAAGGTTGAAGCTTAGTAACTGATTAATCCGATATGAGGACCAATCAAACATGATGGTTTGCATTACACTAGGACGGACAGCTTACTTCTCATCATGGTCTTCCCCAGTACTCTCGCGATGAGTTTTGAGTTTTCGAGATTTGTGTCAAGTTCTTTTCAGTAATGGAATGATAAATTTGTAATTGATGACTCGGTCGGTTTTAGGCTGTGGTTCGGATTAGGTAGAAGACCGCGTTGGGAGGTGTTCGTCATAGCGAATACGAGCATCTGGGACGTGGCTATTGCCATAATTGTACGTAGCCACTCAGAATAGTCTCATTATTTTACCTTGATGAGTCTGCACAACAACACTCCCGGAGGTCTCAGCATAGAAGAGCCAATATTGAGCAGCTCTACTGGGAAAGTCGCGAGGTCTTGATGAAAACACAAGGTGTTGCAATTACCTGAGCTCAGTGAAGGTGTCATCCGATATATCATCATATGGCTCCCAGGTCACCATGAATCAAAGGATCAATGGAAGTTAGGAGCACAGTGTTAGAAGTGTTTCCGAGTTTTCCTTCTTCAAATCTTCTCAATTCAAGATTCTAATAAATGAGTCGCGCAGCGCTCCCGGTCCCTTAAATTGCCTCCACTCTCCACGACTTTTCTGTGACTACCTATATGTCGAAGTCCTGCCAATAACGCTAGTCGGCTAGAAACACAAATGATTGTTCAACCGGAAATTCAATTGAAGTCCTGGGAGATTCATTCCAGGCGCTGTCGTGCAACCCTTCAACACCTTTTTATGTCTGGAATACCTTCCTAACGTGCCATACAGACTAGAGATCGCACTAAGACGAAGTCTAGAGACTTTAGATCGCCCCAAAAGCAAAAAAGAACTCCTCGACGGGGAATTGAACCTCGGTCCCCTGCGAATCTCTTAACTTCAATGACAAGCAGATATCCTCACCACTAGACTATCGGGGATTGGTGGCTGTTGACATCCAGTGACAGTTGCTTGGTTGGTGACAATGGGCGAAATCTGTCCTATGAGCTTGCTTGGGACCCATACTAGACATCACGAGGAGTGCCATTACTGTTGCCAGGGTTCATCTATTTCGAATGGATGTCCTTACCTCCAAAGAGCTAGATTTTGCGTAATGGGTGATAACAACCACGTGAGTCTTAGGCGTCTTGATCTTTAAAGTTTACATCACGTTCGGGCGATGTTGACGACTAGTAGGTAGGCGGAAATCATTCGTTGTTAGCGTACCTAACTCTCGGGATCCGCTTCTGTCTTGTTCTTATGGATATCTTGACCCGCCAAAAGGTCACCTTCACGATTGACTGAAGCGTCTTCCGTAACCATGGCAGAGGCGCCTCGGCAGTGTCTGAAGTTTTGGACCGCCCTTATCGTAACCGCCTGTGCTAGACCACAAGCTCACGCACCTTTCAAGAAGCAGCTGCGGGATCCCCTGGACTTGGAAATTCTTTTTCGTATTTCCAGTTCTGCCCCATCTTTCTGTCGCAAGCAGAATACCAAGAGTCAGTGTGGGGACAGGCGACTCCCTTGGCTCACATAGGCTAGTCTAGCTTCCATGTCTTAGTATCAAAATGGCAAAGTCAGCTCGACAAGGGTCAGGATGCCGGAATACCGGAAATATCTGCATAGATAGATTAAAATGGTAGAGCTAATGATTACGATTCCAAGGCTAATTACCCCACAAAATGAAGAAAAACTGCCACAAAATGAGACGAATGTCTCACACAAGCTTCAACGGCTTTCTGACTCGGACCAACGACAGGCCACTGACCAGCAAACTGACGCATCCACGCATTATTTGGCCCCCATTACCCATTACAACACCGGCACAGATCCGTCGCGACATATCGGCTCTTCTCTTCTACTTTCTTCGATGTTTCGCTATCACCATTTTGAGTGACATTCAACTCGATTAGCAGATGAAGAATCCCTCTACGGCCAAGAGAATGAAGACCAGAAACATCTTGGTGACGGACAAAGAGGAAGCTGCTTGAGAACCAGTCGAAGCCGAGACCTGAACAGGCGTCTGGGATTGCACACTCTGACTCGTCCGCGAAGGGGCGTTTGCTGAGGCGTTCCCAGTGACGGTCTACAAAGGATTTGCCGTCTCGAGGGGGGCGCTGCTTTCGCTCTGGGAAGCCAGGGTGATTGGGATCACGGTCGTGATGGTGGTTGTTGCTACACCGCCGGTCTCAGTGGGTGCTGCTGCCAAGCTTGATGAGCTCTGAATGAGACCTCCGGAATTTTGAGGGGAGCTGGCAGTATTGGCAATGAAACTGCCAGACTTCGTTGAAGTAGATTGCGATTATGATGCAGCTTGCTCTCCGACCCCTGACTGTTGAACCAATGGGGTAGCAGAGGCGGTAGGGAGAATCGGACTCGGGCTAAGAATCCCAAGAATAACGGTGAAGGTTGCTTTGGGCAAGGCGGTGTTATTGCTCCATGAGATGCTCAAGAGACCGAATGACAGCAAAGATTCTGCGCAGTAAGGTAGCAGGAGCAAGCTAAGTAGGTAGCTATGGCGACCTCTGGCAGGACTTTCAGAGGAG